AGTAATATTCTTTATCGCTAGCTTATTAAAGCTATCTTTACTAGGCTAAACGTTATTTTATAGTCTATTATTATCGCTAGTAGTATAAAGATATTATAAGCTAGCTAACTAAGCGATAAGAAGGTCTTTTATTAATATAACTACTACTTAATTAGGTCCTTAACGCCTTAGATATCTAGACGTAGATATCTCTTAACCTCCGAGTCTTTATTAGCCGCTAGGCACTTAGCGCTATTCTAAATCTATTATATATAGTAGCTATTATCTTCCAGCGTTACTATCGCTACCTAAACTAGTATAGTTATTATTACCCTGCTTTATAGGTTACTAGTAGCAATACTACTTCTTTTAGTACTTAGTAAGCTTATTTCTAGTATTACTAACTAAGGTACTTAGTATTATATAGTCTAATACTCTTCTACTAAGTAAGCCTAAGCCTCGGGTATAGTATTATAGCCGTAGTATAGAGAAATAAGGCTTTTAGATTAGTATATCAATTATTAGCTTTTACTATATAGTTATTATAAACAGTCTAAAATAGACCCTTAAACTAGTTACCAAAGTCTAGTAGCTATTCTATATATAACCTCCCTAGATAGATATTAATTAAGAGGCTTAGGAGACTTAAAAGGCCTAGCTCTTCGAGATAGTAATTATCTTAGAAGGTTATTAAATATTTATAGACTATTAGAATTAATAGAGCCTATAGCCTTACTAGAATCGTTGGATAGGAGTATAGAATACCTATTATAGAGGTAGTCTTATAGATAAGGCCTTAAATAGCCTTACTAAACTACCTCGTTAATTATAATAATAGTAAACCTATAAGTAGTTCTTATACGAAGTATTATAATAAACCTTATTAACGAATATTCTATAGTTCTTAATCTAGTAAGTTCTTTCTTTAGATCTCTTTATATAAACTTAATCGGTATAAGTAAATTCTCTATTATTCTATATTATAATAGGCGGGGTATTAGATCTATATTCATTAAACTATAACTTAAGAGGTATTGAGGGGCGGGATTTAAATACCGTGAGGCTAATAATAGATAATTAAGGTAGCAGAAAAGGGTAGTAAACTATATATTAAGAAGGATAGTAAATACTTTAGATTAATATAGGAGGCAGATACTATAATTTAAATAATTTCCTACTACTATTATTAGCTCCTAGATAGAAACTATTATACTAATCACTATAGTAGGCATTATAGAGGTATACAGGAATAAGATATATATTATAAAATTATAAGCTATAGGCTATATATTATAATAGTATACTACTAACTATTATAGTTAGAGGTTATACGTTCGGTTCCCGTTATAGGCGTTAGTTAGTAGTTTATACTTTTCTTTAAAAATATAGCTATAGTTTTTTTTCTATTTTTCCTAAAATTCTATTAGTCTAGAACCAGACTAATATTACGCTAATTAATATTATAGAATTAACTAATTCACTAAATCTGGATATATAATTTAACTATTTAAATTAATTTAATAGTAACGCTAATTACTAGTTATTAATACTATATTATTCTAATAAGCTTTAACTAGAAATATAAAGTAGATACTTACTTATAACCTTATAGTTTAATATACTAAGGTCCTTAAAAATATAATACTCTAATTATTTAAGTCTACCTTTAGTACTTTATTACTTATAAGAGTCTTATTATAAATAGTCTTTTAGATATACTATATATTAAATAAAAACTATAAATATACTTTATTAATACTCTTAGACTTAGTATTTATCTAATAACTTATTTATATAATAATATAAACTAATATATAGAAATCGTAATATATCAAGATATATAATAGCTAGTATACGACTTTATAATAGTAAATATAGTATATTATTATATATACTAGGCTATAAAAAAACCTTTTATATCTTATATTATACGAATAAAATAGTAACAAAAATATAATACTATAAACCCAGAATATACTAATAACAGTTTTTAATTTCCCTTATTTTTATACTTCTATTTATATACTTTTACTTATATTTATATATAAATATATTATTAGTAATACTTATATAGTATATTTATACTTATATATATATATATATATAACACTTACTAGTCTTCCTTTAAGTAAAGTATAATTGCCCTTATTATATTTCTCTGCTTATTGAATCTAACTAAGCCTTACTAAAAAGGTTTGTAGTGTCTTCCTACCTCCTACCTCTCCGTATAGTTCTATATATAACACTATAGATATACGAGGCAAATAATAAGACCTTAAACCTCTTCGCGAGGAGATCTACCGCCGTTACGAAGAGGGCTTTTCCGACGACTTTATTTACGACTATATACGATAGTAAACAGGAATAACGATTAGCTGTACCTTATGATAGCGCCGGTATAAGGCCTAAGGCCTCTTGTGCTAAACACGTATAGTTATATTAACGGATCTTATTTAACGCGTATATAAGCTTTTTTACGATAACTTCGACGATACAGAACTACTATAATAGCTATAGACTAAGGGCTTTCGATTATCGAAGTTCGGACTTAAAGGTATCCGAAAAAGTAATAAGTTATAGCGACGGCAGGATACGCCACGGATTAAGGAGGTAAAAGTAAAAGCTAAAGAGTTCTTTAAGGGTAATGATCCTAATATATCCTTTATGCGGGGGCTCGGTGCTATATAGCTCTATATATTTATACGGTAGAAGGGCTTTATAATTAGCCGCGATACTCTTTACCGTACCTTCTTAGAACTATTTCCAGAAGAGGTTACAGCGCGTATAAAGGAGATACGGTACCGTAGAAAGGGTTAGATAACGCCCGGGCCGAATTTTATTTAGTTTATTAACGCGTACGATAAATTACTTCCCTTCGGCTTTAAGATCTACGCCGGTATTAACGCCTACGCCCGATTTATAACTTAGTTTACGTTAAAGTATCGGCGCACACTACTAAGAATATCCTTATATAGTATATCCACGTTATACGTTAGACTGGATTTCTCCCGCGGTTTATTCGGTTAGATCGGGGTAAAGAGATAATACTCTTAGCCGGCATATACTAGTATATATCTATATAATCGCGTATAAAGAAAAACGTAGCCGGCGAGGATATTCCGATTAAGTTTAAAGACTACTAGATATTTAGAAAGAGTATCTATAATTAACATATCGAGGTATAGTAGAATAGACTTTATTAATCCTATTCGGTATATTAAAGGGTAAGTAAATATTATACTCTACTACTTTATTAGTATTATATTCCTTTACTAACGTGTATCTAAGAGTATTTTATTTACCTCTCCAAAAACGGCCTTTTCGATAACCGTTGAATTACCGACCGTATTATACTACTTTACGTGTATATACCACTTATACGTACCGACTTTACACGATTTATATAGGTCTATAATAGCCACCGTATCCGCGTATAGCGTTCTCGGCCGTATATTATCACTAGTAAGTCTTAAGTGCTTTACTACTGGGCTAAATAGGACTTTTGGGTATAGCCGGATCCTATACGGCTTCGTACACTAAAAAACGCCCTTATAGAAGATCTTTAATAGCTTAATATATATCTGCCTACGGATATTATAGTAGTATACTTAGCGCTTAAGTCTACTATGGGTAATCTCTAAGAGATACTAACTATAAATAGTAAAGAGTATCCTACGCTTCCTCTATATAGTTATATACGTAATAGTCTAAATATATACGTGGCCGCGAAGACTAAACCCGAGCTTTTATTACTACCCGCGCCTCGTAGTAGTATTATGGCTATAAAGGACCTACTCGAAAAGGAGGGCTTAGATATAGAATAGGCTATAATAGGAATTAATAAGACTAATCTAGCCTTTTCGGATATAGAAAACAAGGGTAGTAATTAATTCTATTCTAAGGCTCTTTCTAATCTAAGGCTTTATATCGGAAGTTATTAAAAATATACGCTTCCGGCCACGAAGATCTATTATTAACGCTAGCACCTTACTTTTACCCGCCTCCTCCTATTCCTCCGTGCCGTGATCCTCCTCTTCTATATAAGCCTACGCGTCGGTGTCTGGTACTATCTTAGTCTTCACTACTAACGGCTTAGTCTTTACCACCTACGGCTTAGTATACGTTACCGGCTTAGTCTTAACCGTTACCTTTACGGCTTATTTCCCTTTCCCCTTTCTAGTCTACTTCTTCGTACGGGTCCCCTTTCCGACTTCCTTCTTTATAACGATCGGTACCTCCTCGTCGTTATTATTTTATATTATATTATTACGTTTACTTAAGGTTAGCTTTAACGGGTTAGGAACCTTAGTCTTTCGGAGGAAGGTAAGATAATAATCCTTTATTAGACTAAGACCCGATTCGCGCAGAAACGTATAGAGTATTATAGTATTATACGCCTTATTTCGGAAGAAGATAACGGTTTTCGGATTCTTCTAATCGTATAAAAAGACCGTAAGGTCCTAGTTGAACTAGTATTTATCGGATATAAACTAACTTATAAGATAGCGTATAAAGTCATAGTGGTTTGGAAAAGTCTAGTCTAGTATAATTAAAACGCGGCCGGTAATTCTTTATCCTTTAATCTTTATAAACTTTAAGATATCCACGCCGCCGATATCTTAAACGTAGTACTCGCTGCTATATAGGCTAATACTAATCTCCTTTATAGCCTACGGCTACTTTTCTTTCCGTGTTAATTAGATATTAGCCCTACGCTACGCCTCGCCGGTTCGAAACGCAGTTATAAGCGCTCTACCCTATACCTACACCTACGCGATAATGCCGGGTATATAAAGCGCCTTCGGTTCCGTATCTTCGCGCTTTAAGCGGGGAGGAGTATTTACGGTTAAGTCGATAACCGTGTTATTGTCGTTAATAGGAGGTATTAATTCGTTCTTAACGAGTATAGTTTCGAACCGGCCTATACCGTATTTAGCGTATACTAACTAATCGAGATTAGTATCGAAAAGAATAGTATAATAGACCTTAATATTAGGGCAAATAAGTATAGTTAGGGGCGTTATTATACAGACTATTATATAACCGTTAGCGTATATACGTCTTCTGAATAGGCCCTGCGATAGTTATACGGATATATACAGGGCTATATAGATAGGGTTCTTATATATATGCCCTATAACCCTACTTAATTACATCTGCACACGCCTATATATAAATCGTACTACCAGGTAGAAGACTTCTACGGTCGGGGTAAACCTATTGATCGATTATTACTATTTTTAGAAGTTGCAACAGACCGTCCTGCCGCTTGCCGTAATTACCTATAGAACGTCAACCAAAGGACACGGACGCGATCTTCGACTCTGGACCGCCTCTTCGCCCACAACGCACAGCCAACTTCACCACCCTCCTTTCCCACCATCTGACGTCCATATCCCGGCAGGCTTCCATTCGCTCGTTTGACCCTTTGCCCAGCTTCCCACCTGAAGTCGCATTCGAACTCGAACTCGAACTCGAACTCGACCCCTTTGCCGAAGCCATGGCTCCATCAGAAAACAAGTACTCGGTCATCTTGCCGACCTACAACGAGCGCCGCAACCTCCCCATCGTCACCTGGCTGCTCAACCGCACCTTTACCGAAAAGTAGGACCTGTCCCTTCCCAACTCGTCCATACACCAGAACTTCATCCCCCCCCGCCGCGAAACTTAACCCAAGCTGACGTCTCCCTTCTCCCGTCTCAGCAACCTCGACTGGGAACTCATCATCGTCGACGACGGCTCCCCAGACGGCACGCAAACGGTCGCCGAACAACTCGTCCAAGCCTACGCGCCGCACGTCGTCCTCAAGACGCGCTCGGGCAAGCTCGGGTTGGGCACGGCCTACGTGCACGGGCTGCAGTTCGCGACGGGCAACTTCGTCATCATCATGGACGCCGACTTCAGCCACCACCCCAAGTTCATCCCGCGCATGGTGGCCCGGCAGCGCGAGGGGGACTACGACATCGTGACGGGCACGCGGTACGCCGGCGACGGCGGCGTGTACGGCTGGGACCTCAAGCGCAAGTTCGTCAGCCGCGGGGCCAACCTGTTCGCCGACACGGTGCTGCGGCCGGGCGTCAGCGACCTCACCGGGTCGTTCCGCCTGTACAAGAAGGCGGTGCTGGACAAGGTCATCCGCAGCACGGAGAGCAAGGGGTATACGTTCCAGATGGAGATGATGGTTCGGGCGCGCGCCATGGGGTGCACGGTTGCCGAGGTGCCGATTAGCTTTGTTGACCGTGTGTATGGCGAGAGCAAGCTTGGGGGGGATGAGATTGTCGAGTATGCGAAGGGTGTTTTGAATCTTTGGTTGAAGGTGTAGCGGTGGGCCTTTCTCTCTCTCTCTCTCTCTCTCTCTTCTTATTACCACAAGGATACGTACGGCCTATGGTTTGGCGTTGGAGAGGCATTGCAGACTAACTAAACCCACAATACCATACCTATATTATTTTGCAGCCAGGTTCTTGATGTGTACTTGGCGTCCTGAAACGAGCAAGAGGACAAGATGCCTACCTACGAAACATATGGGAAAGGGAAAATACATCACGAGACGACACCGCTGCTTTACTCTAGGCTTACGGCCGACGTATACTTCGGATCATGATCATGGAAAACGACTAGTGCTTCTATGCATTTGATCTTACATCTTCCGCTTCTGCTCCCGCTTCCCAGACTCCTTCGCATCGCTCCACTCTTTTACATATTCCGACCACCCGTCACCATAATAGTCTGTCCCGTTATGTAGCTAAACAACGGGCTAGCGGCAGCCAGGATACTCGCCGCCGCCTCGGTAGCAGTACCGGGTCTCCGCAGGGGGATGTCGGCGTGCTCCTCACCAGCAGGAGCGGCCTGCTGGGCGGTGGGGATCCCCAGGGCGATCTTCTGGCCATCGGGCCCGGTGACGAAGGCGCCCTTCTCCTTGGCGTCGGTGAGTCGGGTCTTGATGTGGCCGAAGGCGACGGTGTTGGCGCGGACGCCAAAGGCAGGGCCCCACTCGCGGGCGATGGTCTTGGTGAGGCCGACGACGCCGGCCTTGGCGAGGGCGTAGTTGGCCTGGCCGGCGTTGCCGTGGACGCCCGAGGTGGAGGAGATGTTGACGACGGAGCGGTTCTCGCCGTCGCGGACGCGGAAGTAAGGGGCGGCGGCGCGCACGAGGCGGAAGGGCGCGGTGGCGTGCAGGGCCACGATGGTGTCCCACTGCTTGTCGGACATTTTGTGGATCACGCCGTCCCAGGTGTAGCCGGCGTTGTTGACGATGTGGTGGATCTTGCCGTTGCCGAAGGCGGCGGCCTTCTTGACGAGGGTGTCGATGTAGGCGGCGTCTAGCATGTCGCCTGGCACGCAGATGGCTTGGCCGCCCGACTTGTTGATGCTCTCTGCGACGGCATTGCCCTTTTCTGTGGGGGGTTAGTCGATGGAAGGAAAGTGAGAAGAGAGGGGAAGGAAAAAGAAGAAAAAAAAAAAAAACAAGGCAGGGAAGAAGCATACCGGCGTCAATGTCGGAGATGATGACCTTGGCGCCCTCGTTGGCAAAGAGGCGAGCGGCTTCGGCGCCGATACCCTGACCGCTACCCGTGATGATGGCGACCTGACCGGCCAGCAACCCCTTGGGGTAGTTGAGGTGGGCGGCGAGCTGAGCTACACGGTCCGACATGGTGATGGAGACGAAGGAATTACGGGGGGTGTTGAGGTTGAAGAGATGCGTGGAAGATACGTGGAAAGGTAGCAAGACCAAGACTGTGAAAGAAGAAAACAGAAAACAGACGACGAACACGAGCTTTATGGAAGGTGGGTATTTACAATGAGCAGCAAAGTCAGCCTTTGAGCTCGTCGCGAGACTTGATCTGCATGTCTCCTGAGGTCGTTTGTTCCGCGCATTGTCCGGCTGCCCAGCCGAGGTTCCCCGCGGCTTCACTTTTCCGCGCCGCCCCCACATTCCCCATTCTCCATTCCAGGTCGTTTTAATCGATGGTGGGGGTGGGGGTCGGCATTTTGATACCGGTCCAGGGCCTGTGTCTCGACTGGGCTAAGAGGGATGCTGGTACAGTACAGTAGGTACTATTTACCTTATGATCGTGGTTGAGCTGTTGAACTACCTACCTTACCTAAGGTACCTTATATAACATCAAAAGTACCTACGTCAAGTAGAGGGTTCTCTTTTGGTGCAGTGGTACATTTTTGAGTGTAACATGAGCCCCGTGATGTTTACTTCACGTTATCGCCGGTATCTGATCTTCGATAAGAGAGCACCGAGGCACTTTCATTCCCCATGTTCACCATTTCACCCCCGGTTAAGTACCCCAAGTACCTTAGTACCTTACATAAGGTACCTAAAGCGAATCCGGGGTAAGCGCATGGCATGGAACAGCTTTCCGATTAGATATGATTAGATAATCACCATCCCAGAGCCCCTCTCCCGCTTCCCGCTTCCCGCTTCGCCCATCCGTACTCGGCCTGGCTTGTTCATCAACCGCATACCCCTCGTCCTACGGAGTAGCTTAGCTTCTTTCAACCATGCGACGGGGCCAAGCTCGAGGAGGACGAGGACGAGGACGAGGTCCCTCGCGTTCTTGGGGAAGACTCAAACCCGTCGACCAAGACCCTCTCGAAAGCTTTGGTTTGCCTTCTAAGGGAGACACCAGGTAGTAATGTGCTCCTGGGCTTTTCTTTCGACTCTGCTTTTCCATTTTTTGCTTGACCTACCCCTGACTGACTTCATGGCACGTTCAGACTTCTCGATTTCAAGACACAGGAGCGTTACTATACCAAGATCGTGGAGCGGTATATGACTTTCTGTTCCGACGCTGGACAACGCGACGAGCTCCTTCGCCGCTTCGCCGCCCTCGAACTCTCCAGCCCTTCCACCACTTGCATCCCGTCACAGATCCAGAGAGCGACAACAAAGACGACGGCGACGACATCTACATCTGCATCTGCATCTGCATCTCCACCAACATCCACCCCACCTCCTCCATCTCCACCTCCACCCGACCCAACCGCCCAACCGCTCTCCGACATCCTGCCCGCCCTGCGCAAGCTCCGCGAAGGCATAGTGGCCTCCCACCGCGCCGACGACTTCGCCACCCAAGTCTACCTCTTCGCCATCCGCCTCTCCATCCTCGTCAAGCACCCCGAGTCCTACCACCCGGCCATCCTGCACCTCCTGCGCGTCCTCCACCCGCGCCAGCCGCTCACCTCGGTCGAGCACGCCGAGGTGGCCGCCTACCTCGTCCTCGACGCCGCCTGCCGCCGCGCCGACCTCGCCGCCGCCTACGCCCTGCGCAGCCGCCACGGACTACGCGACGCCAAGGTCGACGCCGCCCTCGCCGCCCTCGCCCACGACAACTACGTCGCCTTCCGGAGGGTGCGCCGCGCCGTCGACGGCCACCGCGCACGGCTGATGGAGTTTGCCGACGAGGAGATGCGGGGCCATGCGCTCAAGTGTCTGGGGCGGTCGTATTTGAGTGTCGATCGGCCGTTTCTGGAGCGGTGTGCCGGTGCCACCTGGGAGCTCTTGACGGCGAGAGACGGGGTGGGGTGGGAGCTGGATGGCGAGAAGGTTGTCATTCGGAGGGTCAAGGGGCGGTGAGGGTGGGTGTGGGTGTGGTTGCGGTTTATTTTTATTTGTTTTTGTTTTTGTTTATTATCTTTCATTTTTGCTTCGGCGTTGGGTGCGAAGTGGGCTTAAGAGTCTTAATTGATACCCCTGGTGCTACGCAGGTGCTGGCGCAGGACCAGAGGAGAGCGCCGTGAAGCGACTTGGCGTACTCGAGGACGCAGAGCATCCCTTCGTGCTCCCGTAGGCGCTGGAGAAAGAAGAGGTACATGTAAGTCTATGGAACAAACAGGCACAGGCAGACAGAGATATGTAGAGAACACCAAAACAGCGAGTGCCCGAAAACTGGGTGGAGATGGAAAGTTCGGGGCATCGCCACTCCCGACAACGCCCCCGAGAGCCCCGAATCTGACCCCTGAATCCATCATGTCGGTGGTGCCTGGTGGCCACTATCACTTCCACAACTTGCACGAGTCAATGGATTGATAATGGAATTGATCGTCAGAGTTGACAGCTGCCAGCATCAAAGACCGCAGTCGGAATAGCCTCACGGTCCTCACCCCTATCCCCTTCGGGCCTTACCAATGAGGCCCTACTATTGCCCGTGCCGTCATCCTTAAGGTTAAATATTGGAAATTAATAACGTGTCCACGTTCATGATGCTACGGAGTGAGTATTTTACAAGTCTTACTAGGTATTGTCCGCCATAGTGAAGCCGAAGGTCCTTCCCCTTGATTCCCCCTTGACCCCTGTCCCAAACGCCAAGCCGATGAGCACGATTGCGCAAAATCTGATCCATTTCTACTTTCTGCTTTTCCCTCCCTCTTGATTCTGCGTCACGACGTACGGATACAGCTCCACGCAACCAAAAAAAATCCCTGTTTGTTGACCCCGTTGGACCCTTGGCCTTCTACGAGGTCGATGGATCGGGGAATGGAGCCGAACCGAACTGGTTCCGACGCGGTAACTGGACCGAATCGAGCCAAAGTCCGAGTGAAGAGGAGCCTGAAAGGCCTGAAAAGCCTGAGGAGTTTCGACTCGCAGGGGACCGCCACGGTGGACGGTGGAACTGTCCAGGCTGTCCGGGCACGAACATTGAACGATTCAATAGTACATGTATTACACACAGAGCAGAAAGACTGACGGGACGACCGAGGAGGAGCAGGGATCCGTCGGGGGCTGTCGTCCCGAGCTACTCAAACCGAACATGAGAATACGTTGTATGAACAGGACAAGGCCATACAAGGAGTGATTATAACGCGGTCTAGTTCTCAGGGTTCAATGTTGTCTCGTATAAGTTATCCCACATGTACTTACAAGCAACCTACTCGATGCCGCCTCCCAGCGCCAGCCCCTTGACTACACAGCAGAAGAAACAACATTGATCCTAGGCTAGGTTCTCGACATCATCTCGGGCATCATGACTAGGAGGAGATCCGGTCCCCCCCCCGGGGGGGCCTCACCCTCGAGCCTCTTGTCCAACTTCATCGCCGCCACTCTCGTTCTCCTCCTCGCCCTCCCCTCCGTGAGCGCCGACGGCGTCGGCATCCTCGGAGCCGGTAAATGGCTCTACAAGCCGGTCTGCGCCCACTCCTGCCGACGACTCATCACCTGAGTCCGCTCCTCTGCCGCGAGTCCATCAACGGCACCGACTCGGCCCACCTGGAGGCCGCGCCCCCGACTCGGCAATGTCACCTCCAGGACGCCGCCTACATGCGCACCTTGGCCCTGTGCATCGAGCGCGGCTGCGCGCGGGACGGCGGCGCACCCGTCTACCGTTCGGCCATCGAGGACTACTGGGAGGGCCATCTGGCCACGGGCAGCGTGGGGGATCGATCCCCGGCCATGCAGCCGATCCGGTCGTACGGCGAGACGCTCCGGTTGGCGCATCAGGACATGGACGTCATCGGGAGGGAGAACATGCTGACGGCCGTGAACCGGCAGCCCATTAACCAGACGAGCTTGATCGACGAGGCTGCGTGGTTGTCGAGCTACAACGGGCAACACTCGTTCCAGGAGGCCGAATTCGGCCACGGCGCAAACAGGTAAGTGGCGGATATACTCTGTTCTCTTAATCTCTCAACTTTATTTATTTACCAGAAATTCATCCTCCCGGACCAACCAACTAACACGGCATATGGTTCATGTTGACTTGGCAGCCTCATCATTGCCATCACAACCTGCGCCATCCCCATCCTCTTCAGTCTCTTCCGCTTCCTCCCCGCCCACTCCGTCACCGCCTCGCGCATCTCCGTGTGGCTCGACCAGCCCTTCTGGGGCCACCGCTACCGCGTCCCCGTCGCAGGCAACGCGGGCATCATGCCCACCCGCAGCCAGGCCCTCTTCATCGCCTACATCCTCCTCACCAACATCTTCCTGGCCATCTTCCCCCTGCACCTCGTGCAGCCCAACTACATGGCGCCGACGCGGGCGCAGCAGATCGTCTTCGTCATCGGCGACCGCACCGGCGTGCTCGCCATGGCCGACTTGGCCGCCCTCTTCCTCTTCTCGTCGCGCAACAACATCCTCCTCTGGCTCACCGACTGGAGCCACTCGACCTTCCTCCTGCTGCACCGCTGGGTCGCCTACGCCTGCATCATGCAGGCCGTCGTGCACTCGGTCCTCATGCTGGTCCTGTACGACCGCTTCCACGGCACCCACGCCTCCGAGTCGCAGCTCGACTACTGGGTCTGGGGCATCGTCGCCACCCTCGCCTTCGTCCTCATGTGGCCCGCCGCCCTGCCCCCCGTGCGCCAGAGGGCCTACCAGATCTTCCTGTCGGCGCACCAGGTCCTCGCCGCCCTGGGGCTCGTCGCCACCTTCCTCCACATCTGGTACCTGTTCGAGTATAGCTGGGGCTACGAGATTTGGGTGTACGTCGCTGGCGGGATGTGGTTCCTCGACCGCGCCCTTCGCCTCGTGCGGGTGGCTGCCAACGGCGTCAGGACGGCGACCGTCACTTGTGTCGCGGGGTCCGAGGGCCACGGCGACGGCAACGGCGACGGCGAGTACCTCCGCGTGGAAATCGAGGGCGTGGCGGCGGAGGGCCATGCGTACCTCTACTTCCCGACCCTGTCCTGGCGGGTGTGGGAAGCGCACCCCTTTTCCGTACTGTCATCCTTCGCCGGGTCGTCGTCGTCGTCGTCGTCGTCGTCTGCTGCTGCTGCCGCTGCTTCGAATTTGCCGTCACACGTAGGACCAAGCAAAGAGATCCCGGCATCCTCGTCCTCGGCAACGGATGTGGAAAAGTCGGCCCCTCAGACGACGCATCGGACAAGGAGCTCGGCGTCGTCCGGCAAAGACGCCGTACCGGTAACCACCACCACCACCACTGCGACTGCGACTGCGACTGCAACAGGACCCGTCCGACCCTGTACCGCCCTCCTCATGCGAACCCTGTCCGGTGCGACCCAGCTCCTCGCCGCCAAGGCGGCAGGCGGCACCATCACCCTCCCCGTGCTCGTCGAGTCGTCGTACCACGCCAACCCGGCGGCGCGCAAACTGGACCGCTGCGCCTCCCTCGTTTGTGTTGCGGGCGGCGTGGGCATCACGGCCGTTCTACCCCTTGCGCGGCGCTTCGGTGGCCTCCGAACCAGGTTGGTATGGGGCATGCGGTCGGATGACTTGCTGCGGGCTGCGGCGCCCGAGTTGGAGCGTCTGTCGTCGGATCGGCCCGGGATAGAGGTTGAGACGAGTGTCGGGGTGAGGTTGCCTATTGCTGAGATTTTGAGGGCTGAGCTGCTTAGGGAAGACGAGGTGGGGGATATCGGTATTGCTGTGTGCGGACCGCCGGGGATGGCGGATGAGTGTCGGCGAGTGATCGGGGAGGTTGTGGGCAGGGAGAAGGTCAAGAGGGGGGTTGTGCTTGTGGATGAGGCTTTCAGTTGGTGACCTTGGGCTTTTGTAAAGTATAGTGATGTAGCGTTTGAGAGAAGAGAGCTTACATGTATTCAACCAAGTCCTGAGCTTGGAGTGTTCTCTTGAAGTCGCGATAGAGTCGTGATATACCTGCATGTGTATGACCCCTGAGGTCCATCTCCCACCGACCGCATGAGATGTCAACACATCAACAACAACAGCTGGACCTTCCATATATATCCCAAGACACTTCCACGTATTATCTCTTCCTACATGGGCTGCTTCTGCATATCAACTGGGGCGTAAGGTATGTAAGACTATCGTCGTCCAAGGCCAGGGGATCAACGCTGCCAACCCCCCACGTTGGGCTTGGCATGAAGACACACGCGGCGCATGCTTTTGTGACGCTTGAGCCGGAGGGGATCGATTCGTATGCGGCGTTTAATATCTTGCCTGTCGATGTAGGCCATGAATATCCGGTCTACCGGGTGATGAAGTGAGGGCGGCGGTGAGTAAGAAGCAGGACTCAGGAGGTTATGCATGTCTTAGAACGACCAGTTGTTAAAATAATAAGCGAAATTACCCTGCCAGACGGGCGCCCTATAATTACGGACCTTGTCTCGTATGACACCCCACAGCGAAGGATTCAGCGGACCAAGGGCTAGCTAGCTAGCCTATAAGCTAGGGGCACTGGGGGGACGGTTGTCGTGTTAACGTCTGGTCCTTTTGGGCTGTCTAGGCGTTTTAGCTGAAGATCAACGTCAGCATCAGCGTCACCGTCCAACGGTCCGTCCGGAGAACATTGCAACTTTCATATCTTCGCTGCCCTTTCAAGGAACAGCGCTCCTTGTCGTCAAAGAAGAACAAGGACCAAAATTCCACCCCTCCATCACAATGTCGTCTCCCTCGTCTCCCTCCCCCCGACGCCCCCGGCCCATGCAAATCCTCAGCCTGGGCCTCCCAAGGACAGGCTCCTACTCCATGTGCCTAGCCCTCACAAAGCTCGGCTACCAAAACGTCTACCACGGCCTCCAAGCCGTCGACTCCCCCTCGGACTGGCAACACATGGGCCGCGCCGCCGACGCCCTGTTCCCTTCCCTCCCGTCCTACAACGGCCGCGGCATGACCACGGAAACCTGGGACGAGCTCTTCGGGCCCTGCGACGCCGTAACCGACGTCGCCGGCCCCTTCGCCGAGTCCCTGCTGCAGTGCTACCCGGACGCCAAGGTCGTCCTCGTGCTGCGCGACTTTGACAAGTGGTGGCCGTCCATGCAGACCATCCTCACCGCCATTTTCGGCCCCCTGGCCAACGTTTTCCGCGACTACCTGGAGCCCCTGGCCGGCAACGCCGGCACGACCCGCCAGGTGCAGAAGATCATGGGCGGCTGGATGGGCTTGCCGGGCCTCGGACCGGGTGATGGCGCCGACGTCGTCCTGGCCTCCCTTACGGAGGAGAAGGGCAGGGAGGTGTATGACCGGCACAACGACTTGGTGAGGCGCCTCGTCCCGCCCGAGAGGTTGTTGGTCTACCGCCTGGGGGAGGGCTGGGGGCCTCTCTGCGAGTTTTTGGGCAAGGATGTGCCTGGAGAGCCTTTTCCTCATGGGAACGAGGCGGCTGCTATGAGGAGGACCATCCTGAACGCGCAGCTGCGGACTTTTCGGCGTGCTGTTGTCGGGGCCCTCCCGTATCTTGTTGGCGCTGTCGCCTTGGGAGCTGGCCTCTGGCTGGCATGGGATAGATTTTGATATTGATATTTTTGATGAAAGCAAAGGTCAAGCGGTGGTCGGGGGTGAGGGATCATGTAGTTCATACTTGTTTACATCCGTTGCATGTGTCCATATTAGTTGTCCTGTTTGTTTTGTTATTTGATTCATATTGAGCCGCCTCTATCATGCCTTCTATCCTTCTAAGAGAACCCACTACTACTTCTCCTCAGCCAAGGCCAGAATCTTTCTCGCCGCCACATTCCTCCCCCCTCCATCCCGCCGACAGACCTCCGCCAGCGCCCTCGACTTGGCCGCAAACTCGGCATTCCGCTCCAGCACCACCTCCGCCAAGACGGGCGCCAGCTCCGAGACATACCACCGCGGACAGCCCTTCCGGCTCCCCCAGCGGCCGATGCCGAGCAACTCGGCCCGGTTGGCGTAGTCGTACGTGTCACCCCAGACCGGCAACACCACCTGCGGCACGCCGGCTGCGATGGCCTCGTAAAACGAGTTGGCCCCGCCGTGCGTCACCGCGCACACCGCATCGCCCGTCGACAATATGGCCATCGGCTCGGCATCCAACCACTCCGAGATCCTCACCCTCGGCGGATCCGCCTCCATCTCCTCCCGGAACACATCATACACCTTCGACCCAGGTCCCGTCCCGTACGGCGGGCCCCGTGTCGGATCCTTCTTGATCTTCCACAGCACCCTCATCTCTTGCCCCCTGCGCTCCGGCTCCGCACATGCTGCACCATGTTTTGTTTTCATGTTTGTTCCCGCCACGTCAAGCACCTGCTTCAGCGCCCTCGCCATATCCACCGCTTCGTCCTCCGAGACCCGACACATGGTCCCCAAGTTGACGTACACCACCGGCTCGCCCCCCATCCAAGCCGCCAACTCCGGATCCACCTCCCGTAACGCCGGCGACGCGCGAAGAATAGGCCCGCACGCCACCACCCTCTCCATATACCCCCTCGGCGGGCTTTCGAGGTCCAGCTGCGGAAAGTCCACCTCGGCCCTCGACCCCACGAAGATGCGCTCCACCCCGAACGCGGTCGGGTGGCTCACCACCGCCCCGTACGACAGGACGTCCAGGTCCGGGATCCCCGTCGCCGCCCGCACCGCCGCCTCGTACCGCGCAGGCGTCTCGTCCCGCACCAAGACGAGGACCATCCGCACGAAAAAGTACGCGTTGAGCGGCACGTAGTACCACGGAATCGGCATCGGGAGGGCGGACCCCACCACGGGCCACTTGGTCAACATGGCCGTCCCGGGCTCGAGGTGGCCCGCCACGTCCTTGAGCGACGTGGGCAGCATGACCGTCGCGCGGAACCGGTGCGCGTGCGCGTGCGCGTGCACGTGCATCATCGCCGTCAAGGCCGGGGTGAGGTACCCTTCCACCACGCAAATATCCGGACGGACCGTCTTCTCGATCAGGTCCCTGGCGGCGTCGAAGAGCGCCACGAACTCCTCCGTCGTCCACGTGTAAAAGAGCTTCGCGAGGAAGAAGCGCGTGAGGTGCGGCGTGCTGGCGATGCTCGGCTTGACCAGGGACCCGTGCAGGAGCGTGTTGGCCGGGTCCGGGTCGCGGTTGTAGACTTCGCTGAAGGCCGGGCCGGGGAGGGCGTGGAAGGCGAAGCGGCCGTCTTGGACGTGCGCGAGGGCCTTCTTCGCGGCTGGTTCGAGCTGGGGGAACGAGGCGATGTGGACCTGGACGGTGGGATCTTGTTCGAAGAGGGCGTGGGCTGTGGCGAGGATGACGTTGGACTGGCCCGTCTCCGAGTTGGTGATCATGAGAATCTTCTTGGGGGGCGTCATCGTCGGCGACTGGGGTTTGTTGCCGCTGTCCCTGGGTCTTCTATTCCAGCCTATTCCAGGCGAGAATTGAGAACAGGACTTGGCGGATGAAGACACTTACTTGAACACCTATCCCTACATTAAGTATAATTATTTAAGACCAGTGCACACACAAACGGATAGAGACAGGGGGTCCAGGGTCGCCTTTCAGGGGTAAGGAAAAGATAATTCGCTCCTCTGCCAATAAGACCACGAAGACGCCTCAAGTGCTGTCGTCTGGGCTGACATGCATATATAGCGATCCATCCTTTGGCCTCATAATTATATTTATACGAAATACTCCGTCCCTAATGCTCAGTGCTCTGTACTAGCTGACATGTCGGCAGTCCGAATGTCCAAGACGCCTTGTATCACCCCAGGTAACATCTTGGCCTTCCATTCTCCTTTTCGCCTTCGCCTTCGGACGGCAGGGAGCAGGAGAGAGACAAAGAGCGACTCGGACAAAAACAGGGGTGCGACGCGACGGACCTCATAGAACAAAACATTTGCACCAACCTCACCGAGGACAATCCCCTTATCTGCACGGTAATATCATGGGCAAAACAATTTATATGTAATCATTTAACACGGCCTTTTATTTTATTCTTTTTATTCTTTTTATTTTATCCTTTATTTTTTCTTTATTTTTATTAAATAAAGACCACTCGCCAACACCGACAACACCCCTTAACCCCTTAACCCGAGCCTCCAACGCACATCACGACACATCAAGCACGACACCTCCCATCATACCATCCAGTCACAACAGCACCAAAGGCAAGTCACGACTTAACGGACAAGACATAAGGCCTCTCGCCAAACAAAATCTGGATTAGCCAGGCTATTCACTTCTCATGTTAAGGCAAAAAGAAGAAAAAAAGAAGAAAAAAAAAACAATGGAAAAAAGGATTCATTCGTCTCTCCGTCTCTCAGCCATTTCCCTCCCAGCTAGCGAAAAAAAAAGAATAAAAAAGAATAAACATTCCCTCCTTATCCCTCCATGCGTGCTCTCCAAATAATAAAGAGTCCGGTTTGTTTGCCTGTTTGTTTCGTTATCTTATTTGTCCATGTTTGGATAAACGACCCTGCTCGAGCCCGAGCCCTGTTCATTCTGAGCAAAGCCAAAGGTGTAAGTAAGGAACCCGCCCCCATGCGCGTAACAGAACACCAAGAACAGCAGACGGAATAAAAAGGAGATCAAAGGAGAACAAAGGAGAACAAAAAGGGCGGAAAAAAAATTGCAAATCCCCGTCGAGGTCAGAATGCCGGACTCTTCCGAAGATGTATTTTCTCCCCCTCCACCATTCACCTTGTCCCTAAAACTTCATTTTTTTGTGCCGGCATGTTGATCGTACAAAGAGCGCCCTTTCCCTTTCTTCTTTTCAAGTCATACACGCCACTCTTGCCCTGAGTGGAGAAAAACACAAGGCACCGAGGAGCCTGGACCCAGAATAAAGACGTCGACCATCAGTCGTCAGTCGAAAAGATCCGGCTCTTGCGGTAACCACTATCCTAGTGGTAGTTACCACCCCAGCCGCGTTGTTGGCCACTGCCGCCGTAGTAACCGCTGCCGTAGCCCTGACCGTACGACCCGAATCCGGCATTGCCGTGTTGCCCACTGGCCCCCATGCCGTAGCCACTGCCCCCGTGCACGCCGTGTCCCTGCAGGTGGCTGGGGTAACCGCCGTAGCCACCCATCTGCGAGCTCGACTGAGTAGGCGGGAGACCGGTCTGACCGGCCGGAGTGTTCTGCGTAGCCGATCCGGGACGGGCACCACCCAGTGAGGGGGAAGGCCCGGAGACACCAGTCTTTCCGTCACCGAACGGCTTCAGGTCATCGTTGGCAGAACCGCCCGCCGAAGGCTGCGCCGGAGCGTTGTATCCCTGACCCGCCGACTGCGTCGGGAAAGAAGACGATCCACCGCGTGCAAACGAGTCCTGCATGCCACCAAACCCGCTGCCTCCCAATCCGGCAGGGTTCGCCGCCTGAGCCGACCCGGCGCGTCCGTAATCACCGCCCAGCCCGGAGCCTAGCGCGCTATCGGCTCCTCGGTGAAGAGACGTCTGTGCAGCGAAACCGCTGGCTGGTGACGTCGCGTGTTCATAAGGGCCCTGGGGGGACATGCCGTACGGCGCGTACATGCCACCTTTTCCGTAGGGCGCCGCATATCCGCCCTGTTGGCCAAAGTGGCCGCCGTATCCCATGTAGTTCGAGTAGTAAGGGTTGTTGTAGTACGGGTGGCTTCCGTACGGGTAGTTTTGCTGCCCGTGCGTTTGAGGCTGCGATCCCTGGCCCGCGCCGGCAGCGACACCAGCAGCAGCAGTCGCCTGCTGCTGCGATTGCGTGGTGGGATTGGGAGTCGTGTGGCCACTGTTATGCGCATCGCTCGAGACGGCGCCGCCGTAGCGCGTCTGGTTGTGCAGAGTTCCGCTCTGGGGGTACTGGCTGATGTTGTCCGCCTGCGATGCGTTGTAACCACCAAAGGCTCTCTGCTGGCCCGGAAGCGCATCTTGTTGCTGCGCTTGCCCGCCTTGTTGGCCGTACGGCTGTCCATAGTAGTTGTACGGTCCGCGACCATGTTGGTCCGAGGTGTAGTACGAGGAGTATTCGCTAGGAGCAGAGCTGTACGCGCCACCAGGTTGCTGGGCCTGCTGTTGCGCCTGCTGTTGCGCCTGCTGCTGCGCCTGCTGCTGCTGCGCCTGAGCCTGCTGTTGTTGCTGCTGCTGATTGGGCTGCTGCTGTTGTTGTTGGGCCGGCGGCTGGCTGGGGTAGCCGTCGAGTTGGCCCTGGGTGGACGATGCCGGGGTCTGTTGAGCAAAAGGGTCCAGAGGCTTCTGCCCGAAAGAAGCCGTATCCTGTGAGGCGGGTTGCCCGAATCGAGAATATTGCGCCGGACCTTGGGGGGCGTTCTGGGGAGCTAATGGATCGGTTAGCATACGAAATAGATCGCCAGAAAAAAAAAAAAAGAAAAAAAAAGCAAAAAAGGCTTTGTAAGACTTTGACGTACCTTGTGACGCGGGAGCCGCCTGAGGAGCAGAGCTAGTGCTGGCCGGGGTAGCTGACATGGTATTAGCATGCGGTTGGGAGCCATACTGGGTGCGGAGGTAAGTACCAGCAGGCGCAGCAGGACCAGCAGTGCTCGCCGGGCCGGTCACAGCAGCGGAAGGGGCAGCAGGGCCCGTCTTTTGACCGACAAACGTGTCGGGCACAGCCGGTTGAGGTACGGCGGGAGGAAGAGAGGCACGGGGATGAGCGACGGGGGAGTCGGCAGGAGGCTGGGCGCGGGTCTCGGGTTCTTCGCGGTCGCCATCAATGTCTTCGTCACCACCCAGGCTGAAGGCGCCGAACTGAACGGCGGCACGATCGACTTCGCGGTTGCCAGGCATTCGAACAGCCTCCTCCTGGTCGAGAACCCTACGCTGGTAGCTCGGCGTGCGGGGGGCACCTCCAGTGGTGGCCTTCAGTGCCGAGGTGGCATATCCACTGGCGGGGGCGGTGGGAATGGCGGGGGTGGGAAGGGTGCCGGCGGCGCGGACGGCGGCTTGGTGCTGTGCAGCGGACAACGGGGTGGCGGTAGCGCTGGCCGAGCTGAGACGAGGGTCCCAAGAGTCGGCAGCGGTGCTTGCGGCGGTCTGGGTCGCGGGAGGATGCGATACGTCGTCGACCTGTTCAAGATTCGTCTCAGTAAGCTGGTCCTTGGAAGGTGGCAACGCCATTTCGGGTTCCACGACGGTAGGTACTTCAGCTGTAGTGGGTTCTTCCTCTTGGGGTCCGGGGGCCGTTTCTTCGTGGGCCTCGGCGGTCTGGGGTTCGGGTTCGGGTTCTGGTTGTTCGACGTTGGCTTCAGGCTCCGACTCGCTGGGGGCGGCGGCGGGCGGCAAGGGTTCAATGGTCTCCACAGGCTTGGGGGCCGGCGCCTCCTTGGGCTTAGCCACGGCCTTGGGAGCAGTAGACTGGCGGAGCATGCTGGCCCAAGTCTTGGGGGCAGCACTGGCGGGGGCCGGGGTAGAAGCAGGAGCATCGTTGGTAGTCAAATCAGTCGCGGTTTCGCCAATTACGTCGGCGCCATCAGGCTTCGCATCCCAGGCGGTGGATTCCTCGGTCGGCACGGACAAGGGCTGGCTCTCTTTGTTGGGACCGCCCCCGTTTGTGGTGGCAGTATGCGAGGACCTGCCCCGACCACCACGGCCTCCTCTTTCGCTAGTTCTTCCACGGCCACGACCACTTTCAGACACATGGCGACCGCCGCGAGCCGGCTTCGACGCGGACGTCAACGAATCGGCGGTGGAAGCGGCACCGGTCGAATCCTTCGCCTTGGTACGAGGAGCTTTCTTCGATTTGGAAACCTCACCCCATTGGGAGATGGAACCTGTGGAAGGAAGGGTGACGTGTTAGTGTGATTCACCAGGAGGCAGTCGATTGGACTAAGTGTTGGAAAGTGGCAGCGAATGGGCGGATGGAGGAAGTGACCACGCGACACCACCCAACTGCATGATACAGAGAAGACGGGTCAAAGAAGAAGAAAAAATTGTCAAATGCAAAGCGGAGAGGGCATGACGAGGAAAGCACGGGAGATGGGGAGAAGTGAAACGGATGAGATGAGGGCCTTTTGTAAGGAGATGCCCAAAAAAAAATCGGAGGACAGTAACAATGATGAAGGGAAGGGCACGCACCTTCAGCAATGCGCGTAGCGGCTTCGGTTTCGTCGCCATCGGTTTCCTGGAGAGCGAAGAGGATATCAACCTCGGACCAGTCAGGGAACATTTCCTTGATCAAGGGTGTCTTGGACCCATAAAGCTTCTTGAGCTCGCCGATAGCGCCTTGGTCGTCATCGTCAAACGCGCTAGGATTGTCCGTCTCGGTCTTGGATTCAGCCTTGTCGTGTGCGTGGCCATTGGGACGACCCCCGGAGCGACCGCCACGACCGGCAAAACCACCTCTTCCACCTCGTCCAGAGCCTCTACCGCGCGAGGCGGCAGGGCGCCCCTGGACTTCAGACATTGTAATTGGGGGAAAGAAATTATGATAGATAGGAGAGGGGAAACTGATCGTCCGCCTTGTGAGCGAAGACCAGGTTAAGAGAGTCGGGGAGGGCTTGGAAGCTGGTCCCGACGGTGGCGAGACAGCTTAAGATGCGAGAGATGCAACGGCGGCAGAGCTGCGGTAGGGCAGGGGAAGAGTAGACTGAGTAAAAAAGGAAACACAAAAAAAAAAGAAAAGAAGGGGGGAAAAGAGGCGGAGGATTGACGGAAGAAAAGGGCGTCGTCGCCTAAAGGGTGGTGGTTTGTGGATTTGGGTCAGGTGGTGATGAGTCGAGGCTAGAAGGGAGGGGAGGATTGGGAAGAAGCGATGGGAGAAGATGTTTTGTGCAGGTGCAGGGCCCAGCTTAGCTCAGAAAAAGTTGATACCTTGCACGTCAAAGAGAAGGAGAAGGCCTGAACCGAGAGGAAGGTACGGGGTACGAAGTACACGCCCACCTACACACACATATGTTTTGGTACCGGTACATAGACCAGGTAGCCCTGTCAAGTCGACATTGAGTAGGTACTTAAGTAGATTAAGTAAGGTACCATTCGAAGACCCCGAGACGTGAAAGTCATATGAAAACAGCCTTCTAAACGGTGGCAAGTGTGGCGGTTCGAGGTATCTCAACAACTTTAAAGGTACGGTAGACAGATACCTGGAAGATACCTGAAATTTGGCTAGTGAGCTACACAGGGAATGGCTTCGGACGTACGACTACAACGCGTACCCTCTAAACCTCAGGTACCAGTTCAAGATACCTACGGTACCTTGTAGACATCGTGTACGGGTACGGAGTACTTTCCTTCAAGTTCTATTCGCGGTAGGGGCTGCTTGATTGGGTAAGGTACGTTGCATACGAATACAGCAAGGTGCCGTTTACAACGTACCTCCACAAACCAGGCACTCAAGAACAGAGCACATCAGGTACCTTATACGGATAGTCAGGTCTCTTGCCAAAATACCGGATTTAGGTTCGATAACAAGGGGCAACCAAATTCATTCGTAAAAGTCATTACGATACTTGTCAGCAAGGGAGAGATCAAAAAAAGCCCGAAGGTTGCCCAGCTGTGCCCGACATGTGCTGACTCTCCAGATTTCGCCGTTTTAGGATTAGCGGGGTAACCCAACCTGACAACTGGACCAGACAGGACCCCAAACTTTCGTACTTCCGGAAAAACGTTGGAACGGACGGGCTGGCACGACGCAGCCGCATGGGTCGGTCATTGACGTTTGTGGAGAGACAGTCGTGTCACCTGACTATCGCCTGACTAATAAATCCCTAAGGTAGCCTTGTCATGACCCCAAGGTTCGAAAGAAGAGACCACACCATTATTAGTGGTGTCATGGGTCAACCCACGAAGTTATCCATCCGTACAGGTCTTTCGAACAACCCACAGGATGCCGACATGACGTTCCGAGAGTCTCCTCCTCCACCTCACAAACCACACACATAACAAAAACAACACATCATCATGCACAGCACAAGGCCGCTTCAGGGCATCTTGCCTCGAATCCACCACCCGCTGCCCCTAACCGAGACCCAGTCCCAACGACTGCTCAACGCCCTGAAGACCACATTCCGCTCGAAGCTCGATAAGGAATACGGCTGGGAGTCCGAAACCACAACGCCGACCGCTCCTCCCATTAGCAATTCCGACCCCTCACCGCCGCCTCGCCCCCAACGGCCAACCGACCGACACCTAAATGCCATCCTCTCCAATCCTCTCTTCGCCTACGATCATGCCAAGCCTGCGGCTGTTCCCCCGACAAGAAGGGACCCCATGGACGTCTTCGACCAGGCAGTCGCCAAGGGCATGATGACCAGGAAAGCCGCCACCGGCTGCCTTGCCGCGAAGCGTCGTCAGATTCTCATGTTCAGCGACGTATGCCTACAAACCGCCATGGCCGACTCCGGGGCCGGCCGGCGTGTCGTCCAATGGCTACGGACGTCTGGGGAAGAACGCAGCGGCCAGTTCCTCGGCGACAAGGCCCTGCTGGAGCAGCTCATCCCGTACATGGTGGTAGAAGGGCTGGAAGAGATCGTATGGGGCTGGGCAGACCGGCTGGCCCGGGAGTCCGACCAGCTGGGCCTCAAAGAATCCCCCAAAGAACCTGCGCACAAGGTCCAGGGCGACCTCCTGTCCATCCTCGTCGGCGCCAAAGCCACCATCATGAAAGATAGGAGTCTGAACGGCGCCTACCAGGACCTCCTGCGCGCCCACGACACCTGGCGCTGGAAGCAGAACGTCTGGTACATCCTCTTTTCTCCCTGGCGCGCCCTGTCGTGGCATTCCACCATGGATGCCTGGGACAGGCCTCCCCCCTCCGAGGTCCTCTTCGACAAGTACCTCGCCCTCGAGCCCCAGACCCCGCGTCTCCGCACCGCTCTCCGTATTGATCGCCCGCATCTCGACCTCCACCACCCGACTCGTCCGAGCCCTGAACGCGCACTTGGTTTCTTCCGTGACTTCAGCCTGGCATTGAAGCAGCAGATCCCGCCGCCGAAGTCTTATGGCGGGTTTGCCGACCGTGTTTCCACCATGGGCCTCGATACCGCCAAATACCTGTCTCAATTGGGCCAGGACAAGGATGCAGAATGGGTCCTCAACCTCGTCCAGTCGCATTTTCAAAGCGATTCGGGTGACAGTTCCCGGTTACAGATTGGCTGAATCGTTGCCATGCAAGCGACCATCCTGCGATTCAATAAACTTCTGTCCCTACAATGGAGGCACACTATCTTGACGGTTCCATGGTGGCTGATATGCCAGCACGTATTGCGCGGCTGGCCATGGTTGAAGTGCTCACCATGTCGACCATTCTATCGGTACAGGGAGCCATTACGAGATACCCACGAATATTCTAAACAGTTAAGGAGTTGGCAGTTGGCTCAACTCATTCATAGGGGCGGTCGTTCCCCTCTCACATATCTTTCGAGTCGCCAATCTATCATCTTAACCTTTCACATTCGTGATACTGCCATGCCCTGTATTAAAACACGCCTTCGCATTCTTCCCTCGCCCGCCAAACATCCTCGTGGGGTCTTCGATGCGATCGCGACACTCTGAGACACTCATCTGGTCAGAGACTCTCAACAATCATGCGAGTCGGGAGCTCCCCATATCGCCGGAGGAGCGCGCCAGATGATTTCTTTCATGGCGGAGGATATGGTTGCTCGGCTCTAGCATGATAAACGAAAAGCCCCGAAAGGCTTCACCTTCACAACCTCTCGACACCGACCCTAGAGAATATTCGAATGCTGCGAGGGGTCTGTCCCTGGGGTGAGCATTGAAGCTCCCATTTGTCCTTCGCAGATATAAGATCAGCTGGCGACACAACCGTGGCCCCATGCGGGAGGGCCACCGCCCGATGAACGGGTCCCTCGGGCATCTTGTGCTCCTGTACCCACTTCCTCCGTCTACGGAGGATGACAATGTACCACAGGCTGCTCTGGGTCACAATGATATCGTCGGAGACAGCTCCGCACATTTCGAAATTGAACCCCCTTCTCCCTCCGGCGGTCCTCTCCGCCAAAATCACAATTAACCCCCTCTCGGGGTCCCTGGGTTTCTTTTCCCTTTCTTTCTTCTTTATCTCCATTTGCCTTTCTTTACTCCCTTACACCGTACGCCGACATTTCGAATTCGCATCTCCCACAGACCCAACGGAACGCCCGTCTGCACACCATAAGGTCCACGAAAAGGGTATTGTATCATTGGTTCCTTTTCAGGGGAAGAAGAAACAAAACACAAAACAGCATTCACCACTCCGACCGCGGTTTCATTTTTTATTTCTTCCTTCTTTATCTTCGTGGGCTGAAGGATGCAAAAATCCAAACTGCAACATTCCCATGCAATGCAATGCAATGTGCGGCCCCACGGCCACCCCCCCATGGTGTCGACGTACCACTTGAATGATGACTTGACCCAGGGAAGCCAAGCAAGAAACAACTCAGAGCACAGACAACAAAAGAATGGATATATAGGGAGAAGGGGGGGGGGGTTCCCCTTGCGCCCGCCGGGGAGATGCCACTGCGGGGACTGCAGGTTCTGCATTTCTGTGATATATCGGATAGATCACCAGCGAACCAATACTATGCCCCCCTTACCTTGGATATATCTTATGCCATTACCTGCACCTCGTTACGCGGCTCAATCAACCCCTCTCCCCCTCCCGACCACAACATTGAGTTTTTTGGCTGTTAAGTGAAACACGCCTGCTGATGATGATATCGCAATGTGACGACGATATCGAGTCCCCCTCCCCCCCCCCCCCTTTTTTCCATTTATTTTGCTCCCCAACAACCAACTTCCCGGACCCCCTGGTACGGTGAGGAATATGCAGAATGAGGGCAATGGACGGTCGGGCGGAGAGGGCGGGGGGGCGGCCCCTATCCAACGATGCATCCTTTCTGTCCTTATCAATTGTGTCTGTCGCATACTCTTATTTAGCAAGGCTAAAGACATAAATATTTGCATGTGCCTGCCCTGGTGCTGAAAGTGGTTGGGGACTAGGCTGGTGCATAGAATTGCTGCTTTGATTTCGAATTGCGTTGCAGTTGACTTATCGCACAAGAGAGGGTCTGACGACAGGTTGATGTTCGGTGACATGGCCTGAATGGGTCGGGTATCAGCATGCTGGCATCGCGCTGGCTATGCACTGTCACCTTGGCATAGTAGTAAAATGTCTGGGAAATTACGAACCGGCTTTCCTTTGTTTTATAATTTGACCGTCTCTGAGACGGTTGGTAGCATAAACGCAAATGCTGGATGGACCTAGATACCGATAACAGCCAATGGCTTGATAAAGAAGAGAAACACGGGAGTGAACAGGAAAAAGAAGAAAGAAAAAAAAAAACCCCCCCAAGCCCCGAGCCGAGAAACGGCGACGAGGTCGGGGGAATATTAGAAACATAATCCAGAGGGCCTCCATGCCTATCGCCATCGCCGCGCCGCTGCATCCATTGAATATCGCCCACCGTGACACCCCAAAATCCCATTCTGTCTTTCGTGTTAATCATTCAAGCCGTCGTTTCATGCCCTTCGGTTCCACCGAAGTACTCCTTCAATGCTCCAATCTTGCCCCGGTAGATAGGGAAGATGTAATCCGTTTCCCTTCATCCTTTTCCCATCGCGTGGGGTGGCGTGGCCGTCATGTCGTCTATCGTCTGTCGAATAAGGTCGGGTCGTGGCCGTGGAGAACTGGTAGGAGAAAACGTGAAGAGGTAAAAAGTGGTTGAGGACCTTATTGAGGGTTATTTGTTACTTCTTGGGGCTGGGGTGGACATGGATGATGATCTTTCCGAAGTTTTTGCCATGGTGACCCTTGAGCTTCTCGTAGGCCTTGGGCACGTCCTCAAACTCGTATGTCGAGTCGATGACGGTCTTGAGCTTGCCCTCGGCGATCCAGTCGGAAATCTTTTGGAGGTCGTCGTGGTCGTTCTTTACAATGAAGGTGTGGAACTTGCGCTTGCCGCCGCCGAGGAACTTGGGGAGGAGGAGGGACTGCGAGAGGCGGCGGGCGCCGTCCAAGGTCATGGCGCCGCCTACGTGGACGTACTGGCCCTTGGAGACAAGGAAGGAGTCCGACTCGGAGTACAGGTCCGGCGGGGAGTTGCCGACATTGTCGACGCAGAGCGTGAAGACCTGACCGCGCTCCTTGAGGACCTTGGTCACGTTGCACGAGGTGTAGTCGATGGTCTCGTCGGCGCCGAGCTCCTTGCAGAGGGCCTCCTTGTCGGCGGAGCAGGACACGGTGACGTAGCAGCCCATGGCCTTGGCGATCTGGATGCCGAAGGTGCCTGTGCCGCCCGAGCCGCCGTTGATGAAGATCTTGTCGCCCTTCTTCACGTACGGGCAGATGGTCTGGTAGGCGGTCAGGGCGGCGGTTGGGGCGCCGGCGGCCACGTCGATGTCGACACTGGGCTGCACGCGGGCGACGTCGTCGTACTCGGCGACGATGTACTCGGCGAGCGAGCCCTCGGAGCCCGAGGGCTCCAGGCGGCCAAGCACGAGGTCGGCCGGCCTGATATCGCCGATGGCCTTGCCGGTGGCGACGACACGGCCGCAGAAGTCCATGCCGGCCGTCTTGGGCAGTTGGATCATGGCGTGGGCGAATACGCCGAGCTCTGGAACCTTGTAGTCGGCAGGGTTAATACCGGCGCTAAGAACCTGAATGAAGAGCTGTTCGGCCTCGAGACCGATGGGGATGCGGGGGAGGTCGTCGACGAGCTTGAGGTTCTTTTCGAAAGGGCCCGGCGTGGCAAACTGCCAAGCCCTCATGGTCTCTTTTGGCGGCATGTTGATGGAATTTCGTTTTTGGCTGTGATTTGTGTGAGAAGGGGGGGTATCAGAGAGGGCGAAAAAGGGGACAGGTAAGAAAGAGGAAGCTGAGAGGTCGTTTTGCTGTCTTGATGGGAGGGATTTCTTGTGTTGTTTTGCTTTTATGTTGTCAAGGCGATCAGAAGGGAGAGAAGGACCCTTCTTAAGGGAATGAACCGGGCGCCAGAGGGTTCTTATGCTCGCAGAGGGGGGGCACGCCCTAATGGCCGTTGGCTGGCTTGTACGTCGTAGCTTGACAACAGCAAAAAAAAAAAAAAAAAAAAAACCTGGATGGAACTGCTGCCGTGTGCGTCACTCGCGCCGGTGACAAGAACAAAAGAGGGAGAGACTAAGGCAGGTCCGATGGATGAAGGTACTTACTGCCTTGCGATGAAACAAAAACAGCTGTAGAGGGTGGAGCAAACACCGGGAAGAGGGGGTGCAAAAGAATTACACGTGTATATGATGGGTTGCAGCTGGTCAGGCGTCTAAACTGAGGGGGGCGCTAGTGCTAAGTTGAGTACCTTGACGAATAGGTAAGACGGGAAATGGTGGTGGCTGTACAATGTTCTTGTCGTCGGCAGTGGCAACTCTTTGGCAAATTTCTCGAGTCTGAGTTGCTAGGTTTTGAAATCCAAGTCTCGGCACGACCTAATTGCTGCTGTGAATAGCATGATGGGCTGATGAAGTGATGAATTTGATTCAATGGGTTAAAATGGTTATACCTACGTGTACATCGTGAAAAAGCGCAAAGTAAGTGGTCTGAGGTCATTCGTGCGATTGTATTGTCCGAAGTACTTGTAAAAACCGTACGATCCAGGTTCTCTGAAAAATGGCCAAGCGTTGTACGCAGCTCAGAGTACTTCGTTCGCGACTTCCTTTGCACAAAAAGTCATCAGGCAAGGCCAAGGCCACATTGATGGGCCGGTGATGGTCGTGCTGCGGTGTCACGTTTTCAAAATCCGGCTCGAAGGGTCGCACACAGATTGGATTGCTGAGTGATTAACGAGGAATAGGCAAACCGACCCTCAGACTTAGGTCACGTCGTGGCCGTCAGAACTTAATCGAATTAACGTAGAGTTCCAGGTTATTAACAGGGGAGGCCAATAGTTCCATAGCATTGCATTATTGTAGAGCACAAAGTCAAACAGGACGAGCGACGAACGAGAGAAAAGGGACTCGGAGAGATAGAAGTGGGGAGCGGGGAGAGTACTGTGCGTAGCTGGACAGTAGGGGGTCCATAATGGGCGGCCTCCCGGGAGAGGGTTAAGCAACGCAGGTACGGAGCACCTAGGTACCTATTATCCTGCTATCCCTCTGAATCCTGACGAAGAAGTAACGAGGAGTAATGAGGGGGGCAAAGGGAGTACCTTAGTCACTCTAGCGCCCATGCGTTCCTGGGTACTAAACTGTCCCGAAATGCCTACCGAGACAACCATACCTTAGTAACGAGGTGGAAAAGCCGTCCCTGGCTCTTATGGCTCCGAGGCTGTTTTCTTTGGCCCCCCGGTTGATTTCGAAGGGAGGGGCAGGACAGACCAAGGATAAGAGCGGGCAAGCGCGATTCGATGGGTGGTGGGGTAACAAGGTATCGTCAAGAGGGGTCAAGTGAGGGGTAGGCGCGGTGGTCCGGGGGTCAATTGAGGGGTAAGTCGATTCGACTCACCACTATCCGATACCATTCAAGCATTACCACGCACCACGACACATCGAGCAATATTACCCCTTTTCTTTTTTCATTCGTCGATAAATTAGCACTTCTCTCTCTCTCTCTCTCTCTCTCTCTCTCTCTAAAACAAAATACCAAACATCTCGGTAGTTATCACACGTATACCGAGTTTTAGCCTCACGAATTCAGCCAGACCCTACGTCACCCCGCATTCCACCCTCGGCTTAGAACGGTAATAGGAGACATGAAAGGTACAGTGAGCCAGCCCCATGCTCAAGTCTCGTGGACATTCGATTTTTTCGCGCCTGTCCGTGCTCTTTAATATATTGGACCAGAAACTTTGCTTGCCAAGAGCTTATGTCGGGCCTCGAGCCTCGTATATATGTACGTCTGTAGACTACGGTAGTCTAGCCTTTATTAACCACCGTGCCTTAACCGATATTTGCCGCGTCTAACAAAGAAAAATCGGTGTTTGGCCTCTATAAGGTAGGTACCTAGGTAGTCATGAATGGATTCAACAGGCCCGTGCCTTCTGATGCACGATGGCAGTTGAAATTCTATTTTCTTTAAACTTGCCGGTCGAAGTCCGTTCAAGTGTCGGGAGGATACCGGGGGTCTGCCAACTTGACCCCCCAGGAACCTCTGCGTGGCATCTTTCTGCCAAAACGCCCGTTCCATCTGACCGCCCCTTGGTGATGCTGGCTACCTAGATCACCAAGCACACCCGCCAAACACCAAACCCACCAAACCTCCGTTCACCTCAGCACCCAGCCACCAAAACCCATCATAGAGAATTGACGCGGGCGGCGCCTCCGGTTGCTTACACGTGTAGATTTATTGCCAATATTCAGTGCCAAGACACTTTACGTCCTACCGTTGTAGCTGTTAATTAATTCAGCAGGTAAAGGTACTGGTATCACGCCTCTTCACATCTGTCAGTAGCCTCTGCCTCTGCCTCTGCCTCTGCTACTCATGTCCGAATTCGGTTCATACTCCAATGCTTTGGGCTGACCCCTCGTAACAACCGCTGGTTGAAATGTCTAACTTATGTGTTGATTTGGCTAGGAAAGTCCATTCGTGTATCAGATGTGCTCCGAGTGTCCTCGTCGACCCAGCTCCTCTGCCATTTTCCCCCAACATGCATGCCGACGTCTATTCAGGACTTTTCGCGGTCGTTGAATGGGCTTCAAATTTTCATTCAACCGAGATGCGGACCGTAACAGCCGTCTTGGACGCTGACGTGGTCTCGGTTTAGCATGGTAGCACGCATGCATCTCGAACCGCCCATGTCACAGACTCACAGGGCCCGACCGCACTTTTTTTTCTTTTTTCTCTTCCCCGTCACCCTCGCCAATGATGCCTGTTGAGCGGGCGTTCGTTTACCAGCCCCCCTGCTATCTTCCATCTTGTCATTCTCCTTTGCCTATCCATCACTTCTATCCCAAAAGATTGAGGCGCCGCATCTTCGGCTCACGGGGACAATAATTAATACGCCCTCGCACTCTTTCAATGGCCCAAGTGGACCCCGTCTTTTTCGGGATGTCGTTCGCCAATGACAGGAGTTTCTCGTTCGAACTCCTCCAGGACACACGCCTTTATCTGCTCGAGCCATAGACGGCCTCGAGCGTTTCCTTCGGCACCTCAGCCCTACCAGGAACTTCGCCGTCAACTTTAATCCGGCGATGCCCACTCCTCCTCTCCAGACTTTATCGTCGGCTTGTGAACGTCAGCCTGGAGCCGAGAAACCTACAGGCACCGTACGACTAGATCACTTGCGCCGCCCGAAGTTTGCTGGATGTCTGGCTGCTACTCTGTTCACGTTCGATGCATCAGCTGTTCACTGCCCGGCCATCCACCAGATCTCCTTGCCAGGCCTCTCTTGGTCCAAGAGGCCAAAATGCAGTCACCTTCCCAAGATGCAGCTTCCTTGGGTTGTCGAGAAACCATTGTTCGGACAAGGTCTGTGCAGCCGCCGCCATTGCTTTGTATGTTCTGCGTCAGGCCGGGACGGCAGCAAGCGTTTGCGATACGATGTCCGGCCTGCTCCGATGATTCGCCGGTGAACCCCCAGCCCCACCAGTCGGCGCAACCGTCCGATCCTTACCGTTCTTCGCTCCGAGTCGGCTCATGGTCAACTGGGCGGAGTTCGTCGCCCCACAGGGGCTCACCCTCTCGCAAAAGAAAACTTGGTCACCTGACATGTCAGGCACGTTACGTCATAGTGGCCAGCGCCACTAACCCTCCCCCCAGGCTCCAGCGCATTTTGCTCTCAGGCTCCTCCTCATCACATGTTCCCATAAGCTGACGACGAGGTGTCCCCCAATGCCTCTTGAAGCCCCCCTCGCCTCAGAACTTGGCCGCCGTTATCCTTGAGTAACAATGTTACTTCAGTCTTTAGTCTACAAGACTACTGCATTAGGAAGAAGAAGAAAAGAAGAAGAAAAGAAGAAGAAAAGAAGAAGAAAAGAAGAAGAAAAGAAGAAGAAAAGAAGAAGAAAAGAAGAAGAAAAGAAGAAAAAAGAAGAAAAAAGAAGAAAAAAGGCCGACAAGTGCAGAACTCAAGAAGTATTTACATGTCGCATGCAATAACTCGATTACGGAACGCAGGAAGACAGCTGCTGAGGGTTCATGCGTCCTATGCCGTCTTGCCACCTCGCCGAACAGGTCAACCGAACAGGTCCAGGTCATAATCACCATGTTGGATGCTTACCCGGGATTGTTCCCTCGAGTGACTAGAGCATCCAGAGGCTCCTTCGCCGATGAGAGCCTGTGTTCCGTGCACCTAGGCAATATCTTGTGTTGAATAATTAACCAGGCTTCAGGACTCGACACAATGGGCGTTCTGCACACTGAAAGATGAGTCTGGTCGGAGTTATCACCGCACTGCACTGTCCACATAAACCTGATTCTGCAGGTTGTACAAGTTGACGTTTCTCCTTGGAAAACGCGGAAACCCGGTACCAAAGGTCATTCAAGTCGCAAGGAGTCCAATTTGGCGCAGTATCAGTGCAACAAAAGTCCATTTCGGATGGGCCGATGATCGATGTGCCATATTGAGACCAGAAAGTGTCCGCATCGGTTGGACACGGCAGAGTCCTCAGTCCTACGGCAACGCAACAAGCGTTTTTGATCGTCGCCTTCGGGACCTTATTTACTCTTTAGTGGACATGCTCATTGGCAGACACCAGCGAGCTGTTCAGTTCATCCGTGCTGTCTGTCCTCCGCATTCTGGGGTCTCCGGATTTGCGACCTGCCTACCCGATTTGGCCGACAGACACCTGTATATTCGGCGCCATGGCACTAATAAACGGCGACTCGGACTCTCGGGTACCTTTGGGGGGGCTCGGCGCCTCTTTTCGTCTCGCTTCGCTTCGCTCCCTCCCCGTGTTTGGTTCGTTTACCCTCCTATGAGGTCATCTCAACTTTACGGTCTTTACCCGTCGACCAATAATCGACGCAAATGCTCTCGATGTTTTCCCGAGATATGGTAAAGCCTTTGGTGCCAGACGGCATTTGGAATTTGCTGTCACATCTTAACCGTTTTCGTGCTCTGCCCCTTGACTGATGCATGCCACTTGCAACTCCCCCAAACGTTCTATGCCGCTTGGCGGCCACTCAGGTGCGTGCATGTCGCCATGAATCAGGATGATGGTCGAGTAACGAACGATATTACTGTTCCGGCTATCATTGAATTGAGATTGGGTCTTATGGAACTCGATCTCTCCTGGTGAGTTCGGCCTTATTATTAAGGAGTCTTCCCCCCACGGTTCTTCCTTTCTCTTCTCTTCTATTCTGAACTGATTTCACTGACGGCCACCCAGACCATCCCTGTGACCCTGTCTCTCTACGACTTTGGCCTTGGTCGGCTTTCCAATGCGGGGAATCAGGCGACTTATACCTAAGCGAGCTGTCACGGCAACGCTCTGCGGCTTTTCGTTCTCGTCCTTGGCTTCGTAGCGCGATCCGCTCACGACGGGACCAAGCGACTAGGCGCCTCTTAGTCTTGGTGCCCGCACCCGTGGTCGTACGTCGAACGTCGTCGGAGATCAGTTGCTATATCTGGATCGTGATCCCCTTCCATCCAATTGCTCCGTCGGAAGGGAACGGGGGGGGAATAAAAAGGAATCTGTCCGCAACTACTTTTTCATCCGTCATCCTCTCGACTCGTCGCCTCGGCGTCGTCACAGTGCTGCCGCACACATGGCACAGATTCAGGTGCAGGCGCAGGCGCAGGTCCCAGTTTCGGTCCCGCAAGGTCCCGACGTCAGCCCATCGCCGCGCACCCGCCCACCGTTCCACACCCGCGTCACGGCCGACCGCCTCCGGGAAGGATTCTGCGTACATCCGCCTCCGATTCCGATGATGGGGAAAATCAAAAAAGGTCGGCGGTCACACTTCAAAGAGCTCGAGTTGGACGATGAGGACGACGAAGGCGCTCAGAGTGACGAGACTATTGGTTCCCCAACATACACTACCCCTGGTGGCGTCGATGTTGACTCTACTCCTCCTCCTCCTCCTCCTCCTCCTCACCTGCGACACACGCCAAGCGATTCGGCGGCTCCCAGCTTCCGGACTTCCAACGACACAATCAGGCCTTATGCCAACCAGGAATTTGATCACGTTGTCGAACGTTCTTCTTGCCATGGCGCATCCGGCGCCGATATGTTGACTGAAAACGAAAACAACCAAATGCGAAATAACGAGGTCCACAGCCATTCAACGCCACACAGTCGTCATACTATCTGAGTACTCGGTCATCCAGAAATCGACCATATCCTGTCTTCGCATCAATCTCCCCTTACTATAGTCTATCTTGGCCAGTACGAGTCAGTAGACTGGACTTGCGGGAGGGAGTCAGGAACGGTCCTTAGCTTCCGGTTTCAAGGACGCGTGGCCGAGTCTCGACCCCTGGGCCCTGGAGTAGACGTCGTGACATGGGTGTGGCGGATCGAACTAGTCAGCATGGCGCTCAGGGGAAGTAGGAGTTGGGACAAGTTACAACGCAGCAGAATCTCCGCCTTAGGCCCGTTATGCGTTTATTTCTCAAGAGCTCGGGCCGGACAGTTTGAGTCGTGGGATGGTGGGATGGTGGGATGGTGGGGTGACTCGATGCTTTGCTGGTCCGAATCCTATTAGCGTCTCCCCGAAGAGCCTCCGCTTCGTTACCTTCCGGCGGTCCGTCCGGTTTTGACTCAAGTCCTCCCACCCTTGGGCCGTATGAGATACAAGTCATGCCACGATTCATTGGGCACCCACCTGTCACTGTGTACTGTTAAGTGTTAACGGATGACTGAAGATGCTGGCAAAACGACATAAATTCAGGAGAACTCTTCAGACGACATCGGTTGTTTGGGAGATTCACTTCACTTCTGACGTCTAGTCACAGTTTGTTTAGTTTACGGATACACTAACACATGTGTGCCCCTGAACTCCTGAACCCCTGAACAGTGGAAAGATTCCCGTTCATCCATCAATGTTACTTACCCCTGAAGTCTGAATCCTCTCTTGGGACTATCTACTTACTCCCCCGCTATGCTCCGACTGATATTCCGAAGAAACCGATTAACTGGGCCCTGTCATGATAGTACGGCACTGAAACTCAGTACATTGAAATCTCTTTGCATGTACGTGGTAAAGCTTCTAGAAGACGAAGGTGCAGGTCAATATCTTACTCTGAACTGACTCGTTCTAGTCCAAGTGTGCCCAGCTAGTGATGAGGGTGCCTGGCCGCCAGGTCGACGTCAGCCAGACTGACTCGCTTTTGTTCCTTGCCCCTGAATCTTCACCACATCACCTGTGCGCTGTTCCCCTACCGGTGGAAGGTCAACCCTTACTCATTGTCCACTGAACTGGATTTTCATCTCAAATCTGCTTCGGTTTTTCCAAGACCAAGCCATCCTATCCCCCTTTAGTCCGAGCAACTTCTATAAATATGGTTCCGTGTCGGATCTCAGATCAAGTCTCCGATCCAGTCCCCGATCCAGTCCAACTTCCCGTCCCAGATTCCACGCTCGTTTCAACATCTCCAATTTGTCCCATAACACACGGTACACACCATCAAACACACAATGTTCAAATCTCTAGCTCTCACCGCAGGCCTCCTGGCCAGCCAGGCCGCCGCCCACGGCTACCTCAGCACCGTCACCCTCGACGGGACAACCCACCAAGCCTACAACCCAGGCCAACCAACCTCCTCCGGCATAGGATGGAGCTTCACCGCCACAGACGAAGGTCCCGTCAAGGACATCTACCACCCCGACCTGGTCTGTCGCCAAGACGCCCACCCCACCCACAACCACGGCCCCGTCTCCCGCGGCGGCACCGTCTCCTTCCACTGGACCTCCGACGACAAACAACTCAACCCTTACGGCTGGGCCCCCTCCCACAAAGGCCCCATCATGACCTACATCGCCCCCTGTCCGCACGGGGACTGCGTCAACCTCGACAAGTCCGCCCTCCGCTGGACCAAAATCGACCACAAGGGCCTCGTCGCCGGCCCGGCCTCCGACGCCGGCTACTGGGCCACCGACGCCCTCCGCGACAACGGCGGCGTCGACACCATTTCCCTCCCCGCCTCCATCGCCCCCGGTAACTACGTCCTCCGCCACGAGCTCGTCGCCCTCCACAAGGCCCACGAGTGGGAGCCTGAGTTCTACCCGCAGTGCGTCAACATTCGCATCACGGGCCAGCCGGGTGGAGACGACCTTGGCGCCTCCGGCGTGCCGGCGAGGGAGCTGTATCGGCATGGCGATCCGGCGCTGTACGGTTTCGATTTGCATCGGGAGGGGGCCGAGGCGTATTACAACGTCCCCGGTCCTTGGGTGTATGGGCAGGGTCACTAGTTGGTTACCATAAGACGAGCGTAGGAGTCTGGACATACCTTCCTTTTTTTTTTTTCATCTACCTAGCTGGCTAGGGAAATCCGCTCCGCTCATAGAGACGAAGATAGATAGCTTTTGCCTTCCCAAATACCCTGAATCGAAGACGGGCAAAGACCATACGTGGCCAGGCCCAACCTGTTGCTCATCATCATGGCACCTTCAACATGTCCAAAGTCGGCCATTGTATAAAGCCGCCATGCTCAATATTAACCTTCTGTAGTCGGGGTATCTCTCCATCCAATGCTTATGACATATATATGCCTAGAAAATCGCCACAACTCCGCCCACTAGGACGCCCAAAAGGACCAAACCGATAGAGGGTTCGCCTCCTCCCATGCGAGCAACCGCCCCAGAAACCGTGCGATCAGAGTCTTCCCCCTCCCCCTCCCTGTCGCTTCCCGGGCTCCCCGGCTTTGCCGGATCCGTCTCTGGGACCTGCCCGGTCTGTTGGTTCCCTGACTCTCCCCTTGCGTTCCCACCATCAACAACCTCCTCCGCAACCTCGAACGCTGGATCCACCCCCTCCGCCCGGTTCGCGCCGACTCGGCTCCCCTCGACGCAGATCCCCTCGGGGTCCCTCCATGTAGCGTCCACCGCAACCCGCCACGCCGCCTCAGCGTCCCGCAAGGTCTCCCACGTGTAGTACACCCTGCAATCAGCCGGCTGCCAGAGAAACTGCAACGGCGTCGAGGCGTCTGCCGCCATGAAGGCATTCTTCCCATTGACAGCGCCCGCGACGGATGGGTTACTTGCCCTCCGAATAGCGTAACCCTCCGCCAACACCCTGAGCTCGTCCGAGCCGGGCCGGGTCGCCGCGTCGGGGTCCAGCGCCAGCACCGCCGCCGCGTCCGCCTGCATGTCGTTGAAGAAAAACACCTGCGCGCCCTCCACGCCTCCGATGGCCTGCATGGGCCCCGGCTGCGGACGACCGCCCAGCACGACCGTCTTGACACCCAGGCCCAGCGTCGCGAGGTACGCAAACAGCGTGCACGTCGACCCGCACGTGCCGTCCGTCAAGAGCACCACGTCCTCGGCCGCAAACACGGCAGGCGGCGGGTCGGACCGGGCCCCGACCCCGGTGAGGTTAAAGGCCGACGAGCTGGCGTTGAGCGGCATCTGCTGGTACGCCGTGAACGAGTCGTCCCGCAGCTCCACGGGGCCGAGGATTTCCTCCACGCCCCCAGCGAAGCCGTCGCTCGAAGGGACCCGGTACACTTCGCCGGGGATGAAGTTGCCCACCAAGGTGCTGCTGGCGAGCTGTCGCCGCGCGGCCAGTTCGGAATCCGAATCCGACACCGCGCGGCCCTGCCGGGGCGCTCGTACGTTCTGGACGCCTCGTGCTAACGCGGCGAGACTGTCCGGGAGACGCAGGTTCGTGGCCTGGAACCGTGGTTCGTCGGGGAACAGCTGTGCGAAGAGCTCGAAGCCCGCCACGACAAAACCGCCCCCGTTGGCGGAGAGGTCGACGACGAGGCGCCGGGCGGAGCGCTGTCGGCATTCCTCTAGAAACGTCTCGACAGTGGATTGGAAATCGGCGAGGTACTCCAGTCCTCCAACGTTGCCTCGAGGCGCAAAAGATGAGATGGACAGGACGGCGACGTCGTCGTATCCTTCACCGTCGAGGAAGTAACCCGACGTTGCGCCGGAGACGCTGTCGCTGACCACGGGTCGAGGATAGATACTGATGGGCAAGAACGGCTCCTCTTCGTCTCCCTGTTCCTCAACCGGCGCCTGCTCCTCCAACGGAACCAACTCCTCAGTCTTCTCCTGTCCGGGGGCTGTGCCCTCGTCTAGAGGAACAAATGTCGTCTCCCCATCGAAAGACTCTTCCGAGCCGATGATCATCTGCATCACCTCACCTCCTTGCACCGGCCCGACAACGTCCACCGAGTCGGGATTGCAAAAGCGGTCGTAAAAGCCCTCCCCGCTGGCGATGCGAGAAAAGTCGACGTCGGGCCGCACGATGGTAAAGCTGTCCTCCGATCTCCTGGCCCCGTTATCGTACGTGAGCGTAACGCTAGGCCCGTGGAAAGCAAACGAAGCCGCCACCAGGAGGGCCGCATCCGGGTTCGCATACGAAGGGAACATTGAGTTCCACTGGGAGTCTGGGTCCTGGAAGCCACTGAACTGACTGTTGAGATCCTGGATGATTGTTGGCGCGTCCTGGTCGTTGATTTGGACGATCGCAGGAGGGTAGTCCTCCATCCTCATATTCGCAGTCAGCATTCCTGTTGAGCGTACAGCCACGTAAAAAGTCAGCTCATTGCCTCCCTGCCTGTTACAGTCCAAGGTCCTCGTCCCGTCTCAGGGTGTTGGGAAAGGGGAGAAGGGAGAAAGGTCGTTTGAACTGACGTCCATGATAGAGCCGTGGAGGCTCCTTGCCATCTCGAGAGACGGCGACAATGTCGGCCGCCAAAGCATTTCCGAAGCCGAATGGCTTGAAGATATCCCCGCGGAAACTGAAATGGCCGTCATGGGCCGATGCGAAGACTTTCATGATGGAGAGTTGGAACTCGTATTCGCTCGCAAACGATCCATTCGCCGCTGCCTCCCCGATCTCGGTGAGGCCCTGTGGTATGTCGGCCGCTGGGAAGCTGTAGGTTGAGGGCGGGTCTCGGAGCCAGGCGAGCGTGCTTTGCCACTGCACGTACGCCTGGAGGCTCCGGATCAGCTCCTGGGCCGGTTCGGGCTTGTTGGGAACGGATTGAAGGCAGGCGAATCCCAGTTCTGCTGTGACAGTCGGGATGGCTGTGTTTGGGCGATGGCAAGTTTGTTTTGGTCAGTTGATCGCTCCTTGATCCATCGCATCGACTCGGTAGAACTCACCTCCGGGGAATGCAGACAGAGTAGCTTCCACCCGAGCGGCAACCTCGGCGCAAGGACTAGGGTCGAACTGCCGTCGATCTGGCTGCCCGACCGGTAGTGGACTCGGACTCGAACTCGGACTCGGTCCTGGGGAAGGGGATGGTGATGGCGATGGTGATGAGAGAGGAGCGGCGGTCACCCCGACGGAGATCCAGACCCCGTCGAACAGGCAACCACATAGTAGGAGAAAGAAAAGATAGAGCCAGCCCTGTGAAAATGACAACGATGTTAAAGAGAGGACGCCCATGGCTCCTAAATACAGAGCCAAGGACAGTAGATGTGGCAGGACGGACGGCGGACGCGACCTCGTCCAGCAAGATCACGATCACGACGACACATCACACATCACTTCCCGTTCAGAGTATTGGTGTCGTGAGGACTTGACGATAGATAGGTAGGCTAGACATGGCTGTGTGGGCTTTGTCTGGTAATTAAACGAGGCGATTTCTGCGACGCAGTGACGGTAGTTGATGGGGGACCGTGACCCCGGGGAGGCGCCATCTCTGGGGGGCTAGTGCAGGGGGTTCGAGCTCGACGCCGAAATTTGAAGCCATCATGAAACGCAACCGAATCTTTCGGATCCACCCCCGATCCCCACAGACAAGGGTCCGAGACCCCAGAGGAAAGCGAAAATGGTTTCCGCTGTCACTTAGTCATACCTAACCTCTAACCTGTGAGCTCGGTCCTCGGTCCTCGGTCCTCGGATTGACACTTCGCTTGGCTGTGGGTAAAACTGCTTGGCCTTGCCTGCGACTGTTTAGGCGCATTACCGCTTAGACCGTTGATAAAACACAGCTCTTTTTCGTGGCCTTCTTCGTGGCCTTGCATCCAGTTTGGAGCTCGGCCCCCAGCGCCTCCAGTGGGCAGGTGAGGAAGTCCAGTAAAAATCTTTGTCGCAATCGGTCCGGTCCGGAGACCATCTCTCGTAATTCTCCCTTATCATTGATCCAGTGGAACTAGGGACGAGGGAAAAGAAGAAGAAAGAAAAACAAACGAAGAAACCGCACAAAAGCTCTTTCTAAGGGGGTATCCATTGTTCATTAAAATTTGACCGCTTGTGTGTTGCTGCTCCTTCTTTTCATTGTTCGCTGCTCCCTCGCCTTCGTGCATGGTGCGCAATTAGGGCGCACGCCTCCCGATCGCATCACAGCATTGCGGCTTCATCTTTCTCATTACCCTCCTCTTCTCGGTCCATCGGCTCCGTTATACAACTCCCAGGAGACCCATTCCGACAAGTCCGGCAGCGGCGACACCCATGCCCAGTCCGACTGGAAGGCCTGTCGGTACGGCGGCATTGTCGCTAATCGTCGATGTGGCTTCACTCTCGGCTGTGCCCGTAGGTTGGTAGCTCGACGACAAGACACAGCTTGCCGTGCAGGGTAGTGCCGAAGTGAAAGGTATGGCGGCGGCGGTACCGGCGGCGGTCTGTCCGGTAGCGGTGAAGACGGGGACTTGGGCGGATCGGGTCACGTCCGGACGAGCATCGTGTTCATCGACGTTGAGCACGCTATCGATCATCTGAATGATGCCGTTGGCAACGAGAAGATCGGTCTGGATGATCTTCGCCGTGTTTACGTAAATGTCGTTGATGAAGCGCGTAATGTATACCTTCTCGCCGTCCTCGGCGCCCGTGGCAACGTTCGTATTGTTGAGCAGATCCGAGGCGCGCAGCATGGCATCGGGGACGAGGTGATAGCGCAAGACGCGGCGGAGCTCGTCCTGGTCCATATCCTCGAAGGTGCCGGCGAAGCGCTGGAAAGCGTGGTTATGAGGGGCGAGGATGGTGGCGTTGGGGGTCTCGGCAAATTCCTGAACAAGGTCGGCGGCGTAGAGCGCACCGAGGAAAGCGCTGAGGTCGGTATAGGAATTGCGGATGGAGTGTTCGAGACGGGTCGGGGTGACCATGAGGGACTCGGTGATCTGAACGACGCCGCCGTCGAAGGGGATATCGAGGCCGACAACGGTAACGTGGGTGCCACTGCCGGAACTGAGGATCACCTCACCACCAGGCTGCACGGTGACAAAGACTTTCTGGCCTCCGGTGACGTTGGCGTGGGCAGGGCTATTGAGAAGCGTGCTGAGGCTGATGGTATCACCGGGTTCGAGATTACCCAAGTTGACAACGTCGTCGAGAATGCCATAGGTGAGCCAGACGGGGATTCTCTGTTCATCTTGATCCCAACCGGCGCCTTTGACGAAGGCGGCATCATTCGGGGCGATGATCTGTCAGCGGTCAAGGTCGGGTTAGCAAAGTGTTCACAGTCCAACAATGCAAGACGAGAAGGCGTATACGAAACTGCCCGCGGGGATTGCAACGCACAGTAACACCTGTGTCGGTGGGTAAAATGTTATAGATGTCCGGGTGATCCTTAACGAGATCGAGGAACGTGGTGAGGTTATCCTGTCTAGAGAGAACGGAGAGGAGGTCGGTCTCGGTAGCGGCAATGGAGTTCGCAAAGGCCAGGGCGGCCAAGCCTAGGGATCGGAAGGTCCGAGTCACCGATGTTGCTCGCGGCGACATGGCTGCAGACGGTTTGCAATGGTACGGGGTCACTCGGCTTGGGGGACAGCGTCTCAAGTCGAAGTGGAGCGCGAACCGAAAAGAAGAAAAAAAATTATAAGAGGGAGTGCAGGAGGCCTGGGAGATGGGTGTCAAAGGCCAGGCCAGGCTGGGGTGACGGGACGGGCCTCGTTCGTTGCCGGAGAACGAAGTCCTGAGATGCCCACAAGGTTGATTATCGATTAGGATGACTGGGTGGTGAGGAGTGTAGATATATTCGGAGTTTGTAAAGAAGCGAAAGTCGCGAGTTCAATGAGAGTCGGAAAAAGAGGGGAATCGACCAAAAAAGCTCGGTATTGTATGAGACCACGCCGTGAGTAGGTATTTGAGGTAAAATAGAAATCGTCGCGGGTGACTTTGTCGTGCTCAGACAGCGCTTGTTTTGGAAAAGAACGCAAACAACGCCAAAAAGCGCACACGCAGATGATCGAGGATCACCGGGATAAGTCGGCGGGGGAATGGAAACAGGCAAATGAGTGACTGAGAAAGAGAAACTGCGGAAACAGACGAATGAGTGGAAAGGAAGAAAAGTGAGCAAACACGAAGGGGGGAAAAAGTCGAAGGTCGAGACAGGTCGGGAACGACGATAAATTTGAGAGACCTAATAAGAGAACGCAACGCCTCGCAGCTGCCAAAAGAAGAACTTGAATGTGGCTTCCCCCGGCATCCTATTCCGTATCTCCACAGTTCCCCTTTGTCACGGTCCGTAAGGTAAGGTAAGGTACCTTAATGTAATGATCGTGGTCCGGAAAGAACTCCGTACTAGGTACATACGTACGCCTGCATAAATAATAGTTGTCTGCTCAGCCCAGGTGTATATTGCCTAGGTATAGGATACAACGTACGACTGGTCTGACATGCATGCGAAGGAATGTTTAAGCACTTGTTCGTCCATCACTCTTTCCCCTTTCCCCCTTCTTCCTCCAGAGGTCGGGAAGAAGTAAGACGGCGGATCCACTACGAAAGTCCTTTAGTCGGACAACAGTGGGTCGCAACTTCCTCTTTTGGATCTTAGCTCCATCACTCGTCTCCACGTAAGCCCAATAAGATCGCTGTACATTGCGGGCCACTGCAGAAATCTGGACCCCTATCACTTCAGCTCAATCCAGAGCTTCCCACAGAGGCGGGGAAGGGTAAGACCGAGAGATTGGCAAATTGCGACCGAATCCTTCTGTCTTACAACGTACGAGGTACGAGGTACGAAATAATTACATGTAATTACGGATACATACTTCGTACAACGTACTTCTTGGAGACCGATCTCATGCGCTTTACAACGTACCTGGCCAGATATCCATAAGTACCTTACACGGAAAGACATTTGTGGAAGTTTCGTGGTTTCGTGGTTTCGTGGAACCTCGGTGCGCGTCTCCCCTAGCATATGATATGGTGTATGTAAACACCTGTCTATGATACCCACAATCTCCGTACCTTCTTATCATTCCTTAGATCAACTTCGAAGCGGCTGCAGGAGACTACGGTCTTCCCGCATAAATATAACCTTTCGGTTTCTCCAGAACGACAGACGTCTTATCTGCCCGACTCTGCATCGGTGCGACTATATATGCCATGCAGAATATATATACCTAGGCATAGGTGATTGCCAATGCATAGGACCGTCAACACACGTGGAGGTTTTTCAGCTATATAGGTTACTGTATGAAAGTAGGACAGTTGAACCACAACAGATCCCAAAGATTAGAATAAAATCCAAATACATCATCTGCTTAATCGTCACGCTATTTTTAACCGTTCCAGATTAGAGGCAAGATGGCAATATAGAGGTGCTACAGGAATCTTCCAGGCTTGAAATGATGTCGACTCGTTTTAAAGCTCCTTCTTCAGATCGTGCTCCTATAACGAGCCGTCAGCGGCGAGCTCTCGGTTATTAAAACGGAATATAGAGGGGAAGAAGAAGGTGGCAGTGGCACGCACCGGTTTATGGCTCGTCTCGTAGTCGATATGGACGTAGGCTCTTTCGACGCCCGGGAGCTTCTCCACTTTGATCTGTAACGCCTCGGCCACGTCGTGGGCGATCTCGAGTCGCTCGTTACGGTCCATAACGACGTCGATCTCCACGATAAACCGGGGGCCGCTATGGTACGCCCGCACGGTGTCGATCTGCTGGATATGGGGAGAATGTGTGGCGGCTGGAATAATTCTCGGCGCCTTAGCTATTACCCCTAACGTTGGGGGGAGAGAGAAACAAGAAAGACCAAGAAGGGAAACATGAAACCTACCGATATAAGTGATGAGTTGAAGAAATTCAGGCTCGGCAGTTACACCGACCAGTAGCTGAAACTCGTCGTAGGCTGTCCTCAGCCACAAGCTGGCGATGAGAACGGACAGGATGATGGCCCCCATGGGGTCGATCCACCACCGGATGTTACTCCCACCAGCATAGGTGAGGATGCCAAACGCGTTGACGGGGAGGTCGTTGCGGTGGTCACGCCACAGGATCTCGACCTGGGAGTAAAGACCCTTGAGGGTCCAGCAGTAAAAGAAGAGGGCCAGTTTGGTGGTGAAGGCGACGGCGACGGCAATCACGCTGGGCACGTGGAACGCGTTGGTCTCCGAGTCGGACCCTTCGGCGAGTTGGCGGGCCGACATGACGACGAGGACGAGCGAGACCGAGAACATGATGAAGCTGAACGTGATGTTGCCGACGGTGGAGATGCGCGACCGGCCCGAAGGGTAGCGGAGGGGGTCGACCCTGCTCACGGCGCGGTGCGACAGCATGAGCACCAGCCCGGACAGGGGGTCGAAGACGGAATCGGCCATGGTGGTGAAGAGGGACAGCGAGGACGAGCTGATGGCGGCGTAGAGCTGCAGCGCCGCGAGCACGCAGTTGGCCGCCAGCGAGCCCTTGACGGCCAGCTGGTAGCGGAGGGCGGTGGCGCCGTGGGCCGAGCGCGCGTCGCGCTGGTGGTCGTCCACGGACTTGAGGAGGGAGCGGATCCGGTCGTTCTGCGACCGGTAGAAGGCCTGGATCTCCCGCTCGCGCCGCGCCGTCATCGGGCTCGTCAGCGTGTGGATGCGCTTGCGCGCCGTGTTGGGCGGGAACCGGCTCATCTGGCCGATGTCCGACTCGGACTTGATGTGGCCGCCCAGCCCGTACGGGTCGTTCAGCTCCGAGGAGTACCGCGATCGCGACTCTGGGTCGATCCCCGTCACCGTCTCGGCTTCCACCGAGAGGTAGGCCGCGGCCATCATCGCCCCTGTGGATACCTGGACGACGCCCGCTTCCGGGTTGGATTCGTACTTGGCCGGGGAGGAGGAGACCATGGTGGTGAGATGCGGCGGTGGGCGGACCGTGGGCCGTGGCGTGGTATCAGGTCTCCAGGCAGTTAATTGTACTGGTTAGTAGTTAAAAACGGGCCGCTGTTAGAACCGTTAGGGCAAGCTCCAACGGTTATGAGTGACCCCTTGGAGAAGCCAGGCCACGATAAGGAGACTGGGACAGTGCCTCAGTGACTTGACTGGTGTAAGTTGAGGATTGGCAGCCAGGGACTTGGAACTGAGTCAGGTAAAAATGGAAAGATCAGGCGAGGAGGAGGGGTGGTGGTGGAATTTGGGGAAGGTGAACCCGGGGTGGGCCATATCGCCGATTGGATCGCACGGACGTAACGATTTTGGCCCCCACTTGTGAAAGTACGAAGTACAAGTATGGAGTCGCCCCCACGCGATCCCCTCATGTCACCTCATGATTCCCATTCTCTTCACCTATTCTCTTGCTAAGTATTGCTCATATCGTCCACCTTCAGGAGTGACTGATAGAACAGAAGTTTCTTAATATCATGCTAGAGCTCACATAGTGTGTCTCTCGTTTACTTCTCGTTCGACCCACCTCGTCATCGCCACTCGCTATTTCGACTCCATGGTATCAAGAAAGGCTCAACTCAAGTGCCATTAATGAAGGGATGCGGATGGACGTGGATGAGATCATGGAATACCTACACTGATCATGGAACCTGCAAACACGCCAAAACAATAAGAAGAGCAATAGATAACGAATCCTTGCCTCTTGGTCGCATCAATCCCTTCAATTAAAATATTCCAAGTCCGTTCCTCATTATGCCTCACTGTATTCTATCTATTCATGCCCGAACCTGAACATCCATCCAGCCAAAATAACGCCAATTCTCATCATCTCAACCCGCCACCGCCTGACCACTTCCACCCTTTATTCTACTGCTTCTACCTTTTCCATTAATTGATTGCTTGAAGAAAACTTCCTCGGAATGGAAGAGCCCGGTCAATCAGTCAATCGACACATCGCTTCCCTCATCGTCCCCCTCCCCAACCTTCATCGCCAGCGCGCAAAAAATAGGCCCTAGGGCCTCGACAACGGAACTCACATCCGGGGCAACCGGCATCCCGCCCACCGCTCCCTCCCTAACCTCGTTCCCCGCCGACTCGTTCCTCACGTCCCTGCCACGTCGCGCCGGCCCCTTCGCCGCACCAGGCGTGATGACCGTCCGGTCCAGCAACTCCTGCCACATCACAAGAAACGCCCCGGGCCCCGCCATCGTCTCCGTTTTCCCATCGAGGATCTGCTGCATGCGCGCCCGCGACATGGCCGCCACCGCGTCAAGGTACCTCGCCTGCTCGTCCAGCACAGGCCGCAGCGCATCCTTCTGCCCCGGAGCCAGCCCCGCAAACGCCTCCTCGAGCCGCTCCTGCATCGTGCCCTCCGTGTGCGCCGACGACCCCTTCGTCGTCACCGGCACGCCGGGCTTGCGGAAATGCACCAGTGCCTCGCGCGCCCAGTCGCGGAAGGTGTCGCGTACTTCGGGCGCCTGCTTCGCTCCGTTGTGCAGCCACTTGTAGAGCATGTGCTTGTTCTTCCGGAGCAGCGCCACGTAGTCTTCCACTGACGGTGGTCGCGTTTCTGCCTTGGTCGTTTCCGGTGGCGGCGCGGTGGCGGCATCCTTTGTGACGCCGTTTGTTTTCTTCGCTTTTTCCTCCTCGGGTTTCTTCGGCTTGCTCGTTGCTATGAACTGGTCCACAAAGTCTTGATAGTCCTGCACGTGTTCCCGTAGGTCTACCTTGTCGTGTATCTTGCGGATGTACGGCTCGAACCCAGACACGAAGTCTCGGAGTGCTTGCGTGAAGAGATCGGGCTGTTGCTGGCATAGCACACGCGTGATGGCTTCGCGGTCTCGGATGGACAGGAGGTTGGCGTGGTACTCCTGGCACTGCGCGTGATGTGTTTCGGAGAGACCAGAGACAAGGCTAGGGTCGGTGGTTTCGAGGATCGTTGCTACGATCGACTTGGATTCCTTCCGACTTCTCTCTCGCAAGGCGGTGCGGTCTGCTGCCGGTTTCTGGACGTGCTCTCGGATGGCGGTGAGGCATGCCTTGCTTGGACCTTTCTCGTCTTTCTCGATCTGCTCCACCGTCTTCCGGGACTCGGCACTGTCCCAACCTAGAATAACCGATATAATCCTAGATATACGTCAGAGATGAGTGATGACGAGAGTGAAGTCGTCCGGTCGACGGGAGTAGAGAGATTCACCATACCTTTGAAGAAGATTCATGCCGTCCTCGGCATTTTTGGTAAGGCCGAGGTAATTCGTAACGCTAGAGACGCTCAGTTTCGATAGGAACAACTTCAGCATGCCGGTCATCATCGTCGCTGCATTGCTCATGCGGAGCGTCTGGCGAATCACCGCATAGGGGAGCATGCTGTGAACATTCTCGATAAGATTGAGCAGGTACTGGCCCTCAGGCGACAGGACGAAGACGTAGTGGAACAGTGTCGCAATGCTGCCTCTGTGTCAGCAGGTCGGAAAATACAAAGAAAAGAACAGAAGAAGCAAAAGAGAGTCAAAAGAGAATACGTACTGCAAGATGGCGTACTCGACCAAGGCGCCCACCATGGGCGAATGGCTGTCCAAGTCAGCTGTCTCGCCTAACCATCCCGACAAGTCGTCGAGAAGCGTCCCGTATACCGTCGCGTGCAGGACATCGTGGAAGGCGCGCTCCAGGTCCTCGGCCTTGCCATGGTCGTACGCAGCCTCGCCACCCCGCCCGCCTTCTACCGTCCCCTCCCCCCAAGCGGCGGGGCATCCGCCCAGACAGCCCCTGACGATAGCCTCGACCATTGTGGATAAGGCGGTCGCCAGGGTCTTTCTGGTACCTGGGGCACCTTTGTCATAGCTCTCGGACAGGTCGGCTTCGGCGAAGCGGGTCAGCAGGCCTTGCACACGGACAGACCAGAATTCGTCGGGGATGTCTCGTGCTCCCGGGAGGGTGAGGAGGAACCGGTGGACGAGGATCTGGAGAACTGGTGAGGGGGAGGGGCCGGATCCGGAGGCCGGCGTCGACTTGGTGACATCGGCGGAGGAGGAGACAAAAGGATGGCCGTACAAAGAAATGGTGCCCGGGTGCTTCAGGGCTTCAATCTCCGCGTATGTCTCATGGTGGGTAAGAATGTGGAAAAGTGCTGCAGATTGCTCACGGGTCAAGACGGCGTCCTTGTCGTTCAGGCTCCGAGTGGGGTTCAAGTTCGCCGTCTTGTCTGGCGCTTTTGTGTCTGGGACGGCGGACATAATGATCGGAGATCAGCCACCGAGCCAGTATGTCTAGAGAATAGGGTTGAGATGATTTGGACGTTTCGTATCACAGGCAGAGAATGCTTGGGGATGGGGATGTGCAAAGTTTTGAAGACCTTGGAAGAAAGGGTCCAAGGGGTGCTTCGAAGTGCGTCACTGGGGTCCAAGTACTTCGTTCGTACTTTAGCGTACAGGGTAAGACCCTGGATCCCCCTGCGTTAATCCACAGGCTTATGACCCGCTGCTCTTGACCTAGAAAATGCGGGAGAACATTTGCATCATAAGGTACCTGGGTACTCCGTTAGCGATGACGGATGCGTACCACTGACATCATCCCAAAGCGGTGATAAGAATAAGGTATAAGGTACCAGGTATGTAGTGTACCAGTGAGAAACTCTGCTTCAGCTTCGGTACTAAGGTAAAACCTACTCGTCGCCTTCTGGCCAAAAGCGTAATTCCGTTAATTTGTCTTGAAAATCCGAGAATTTACTTATATAGGTAGCTAAAAGCAGCAGTTGGTTATGTGTGTTCAGAAGCATACAGGCATCACGAATTTCTTACCAAGGTAATGTGTGAAGAATGTCGCCCACTCAACTTCAGCCACACCCGACTTACATCGTACTGTGGCTGTTATCTTATTCGCCACATGCCAGTCAACTTCAACGACGAGTCTGGACTCTGAACGACGACAACGGCATAAACCGCCCTCTCATATATAGGCAAGTCGAGCGCAAGAGATCGCAGAACAGCTTGAAACTCTATTGTCAGTTACCCAATTCCCCTCTTGCTTCGCACTCTGCATAAGGGTAGAGAACTGCGTACCTTCAGACTCCAGTGCGCTCCCCAACCAGAGCAAAGCTAGTCGACTGTCGACTTGTTACTTGTATACCAGCAGGTACGGGATATTTGGGACAAAGAAACAATGGCTAACAAAACACTGGATATATTGCTAAATTGGTATTTCTCGGATTTGTCTCGCAAGCGCAAACTGATCTATTTGACTCCAGACCAAGGAGTCCAAGGACAAACAACTCCTACGTACGTAGGTGCTTAAAAGTAGAGTTGGCTTTCCTCAAATAGCTAGGATCCAAAGTAGAGCAAAGGGCAGAGAAAATAAGAATACATATAATACTTAAACCAGGCAAAGTGATATTTCAGACAACGGCATTATTACTGCCTCCTAAACCAAGCTAGCCTCCAAGGCAATAGTCCTTGGCTAGTTTTTAAGAGCGCCAGAAGCCTACTCGCAGTATAAACCAATATCTTGTATAGCTGGTCCCTCTAATATTGGTTATTTACCGCAGTTAAAGCTTAGTTCTAATCCGGATCTTACCTCTATCCGTAGTAGAGTGGCTAACTGGGTTAGCGATGAAATTAGTTGATCGTTACAGTTTCAGTGGCATGACTGTCCGCGCTACCCTTATAACCTTTTCACGACTATTCTGTCGTTTATTATTTTACGTATTGGACTGTTGAATCAGGCCTATATTCTATATCCTTCCCTAAGGTCCTCAACTATCCATATATTCAAGGTATAGTGCCTCTTTCTGCAGTTATGATTAACAAGAGTAATAAGTCAAGCAGGGACCACACCCATTATATCATTCGTATAAGCATCCAAGGCAAGTTAAGGAAGGTGCGCTTCTTCCTACTACGGACCTCTATGGTACACACTATGTCCATTCACTTCATAACGTCTACCAAGCAGTAGCATAATATGCTATTCGTGATTAGGTGGCTGGCCGATTTCTCCTCCACAGCTTCTCTCTACATAGGTATAAATTCTCAAACCTCCCTCGTATTCTTCCAGTTCTTCTATTCTGTTTCCCATCCACACCAACCATCACCACAAACCAGTCCCAGTGCAACCAAGCAAAACCTTGAACTCCAAAAGCCACTCCACTGCCGAAAAGAATGAAGCTCCTTTGTAAGTACAACTTCCTACCTACATGGCTCAAGGAGTAGTCTAACTGGGCCATCACAGCCTTTGTCTCTCTCTTTGCCCTTGGCGCCATGGCTGCTCCTGGCATTATCAACCCGTCGGCTGTCCAGGCCAACAACATCAACAACACCGCCCTTGCCTTCAAGGCCGATAGTGCTCACCACGCCGACGCCTCCCCTGCGGTCACTACTGAGGTTGACCATAACCCCGACTGCGATCTCGACTGTGGCTGGGGAGGGTCCTACTGCTCGCGCTTTCCCAAGCTCTACCACTGCAACGAAGATGGACAGGTCCGATTCATCATGTTCGACTTGATTTGCGCTCTCCGCTGCAAGTGCAAATGCATCAGCATGAACCAGTAGTCACTCCACGGATGTCTGTTGGGAAGATGTCTACATGGACAAGCAAGTTGCCTGGGCTTCCGATATAACAGGGAATTCTCCCAGCAATCCAGCCAGGCTCAAGGGAAAGATGGAGATGGGGTTCTGGACATGAGGGTTTTTAGGGAATTGATAGATGGATGAGGCGTTGTCCCTTAGACACTGATTACCTCCTACTTCCCATACACGGAATACACTAATACTCTCTTTTCAATCTCTTCATGCTTTGCTTAACATAATAAAGGCCAAACACAAGTAGAACCCATCACACTGTTCATACCTCTAATCTTTGGTAGTAAGGAGTGGGCTTAACATAAACCAAAGTCTATTAAGGCACATAGAGAACACAGCAAGTGGAAAAACACCTAGAATACTTGACTTAGAGTAGAATACTAGTCGAAATTTCCGCTGTCATTGTCTGGGCAGAAAGAGGTTCTTTAGAGATAAATACATCCGCACTCTTATTATATACTTCAATATTATCTACTCATAACAGGATCTTAAAGGGATATTCTCTTAATGAGTATGTGTGTGAAGAACCGGGATTCATAAGGGGAAAGGAACTTAGCAGGCCTATTGGCTCTCAGCACTTGAGTTGTTTATGCCCATGAGCTTTGAGATCAAACATTTATACAAACAAACACCGTCTACTAACTGCCTTTGTGCTTTTGAAAGAGTCAAGTTAGTCTGATTCTTGATGATGCTGATTTATGTTGCTATAAGGGGAGGTGCGATTAGAATAACAAGTCACATTCTCTGCATAGTCAAGTCGAAAATCGAGATCATTTAAACATGAGTAAAACGTATGGGCAATTACATGAACACTGTGCAAGATACAAGAGATGAAGATGAGACTTTATTTTCACCTTCTCGGGGCCAAACCCCTTCACCTTTCCCTTCAGGAACCCAAGTTGGATAATATATGTATGCACTGTACCCCCCATGTCCACCACAAATGAATTCGAGGATGCTTGATCCAACGCTATCAAGAGAAATAAAAATAAAATAAAAGAGAGCAGAATATATAGCGAAGAAAATCCCTTGTTCATTAGTATGCATTGTACATTGCGCCAGGTATGTTTTATCTTCTCCTTGTCATCTCTCTTTCTGCTTGTATACAGATTCGTACAGAGCGCACGCCATCTTCGCCCCTTTGTTCGCTTTTGCTTTGTTCTCGATCCTTGGCTTCGTAGTCAGCTTATCTCCCCCATGGGGAGTGGGATGGTAATCCCGGCTGAGCTGACTGGGACTGAGGCGGCGGCCGCGACTCCGTGAAACGTCCCAGGGACCCCGGTATCTCAACCGGTTCCTTCGGCAGTTGTACAGCGGCAGGCATAGAAGCAAGCTCGTACAAGCCCGCGTCAGGGCCGGGGTTGCCTACCCCGGGCTGCTCGTTCTCGGAGGAAAGCTCCGCGACAGGCCCTAGTGCTTGTTTCGGTGGCTGCTTTTGCTGCGGTCCTCCCGCCGGGGATCCAGGCCACGGCTGACCCGGATAATACCCCCACGCACCATGTTGCTGCTGCTGCTGCTGTTGTGAATGCTGAGCATCCCAGCCCCCGTCTTGCGGTGGCCAACCACCCGGGAACACGAGCCCAGACGCCGGGCTCTGACTCGCTGGCCTCCAGCCCGGTTTCCCATCGGCGGCTTTCCAATCCTGCGGTGGTGCGCTCGGATATACGCCGTCGCCGCTTTTCCCCCCGTCGGAACCAATCCCGGGGCTCGTATTCCATGGTGCTGCTCCTCCTCCGCCCCCACCTGCCCCTCCGGCGATGTCGAGCATGGGGCGGGCTTCATCGTGGGCTGCGCGGTTTCGACGGGCTTTCTTCCACGCGATGATGAACGTGGCGAGGATGAAGGCTACACCTGCGGCGCTGCCGACGCTGATTCCCACCATGGCGCCCGTGGAGAGCGGTGGGGTTTCGTCGTTGTCTTCCTCGACTTCTGCGACGGCGTCGGCGGTGGTGGTGGGTGTACTGCTGGTGGTGGACTGAGGGGACGATGTGGGGGATGATGCGGAGGATAATGTCGTCGGTATTATTGAGGTTGAAGATGCGTGGGAAGAAGAGGAGGAGGAGGAGGAGGATATGTCGGTAGTGGTGGACGACGGACCGGCCACGTTGGAACTGGAAGAAGCCGCGGCGCCGATCTGCATAAACTCGTCTTCGTCGAGGGAGAGCGGAGTGTCGGTGTCGTCGCAACTGGTCTCCATCGTGCTGTAGACGATGCGGAGGGTGGCGGGGACTCGGGCGCCGAGGCAGCGGGCGGCATGGGTGACGAAGTTGCGGCGGTTGGAGCAGAGGCAGTCGTTCATCTCCTCGACCGTATCCCCCTGACAACTACTCTGCTCGTCGGCTTCTTCGAGACATGGCTGGGCGGCGGAGGGGTAGAGGCTGAAGTCGTTTTCGACGTCGGCTCGGGCTAGGGGTGCTGCGAGGAGGAGGAGGGCGAGAGAGGAGAGGAAGAGGAGTGGTGCCTTGGCCGTTTGTCTCCTCCTTGACCTCGGCATATTCGCCGGTACCGGTAGACTGAGTGAATGGGGCCTGGGAGAGGACTCAGGGGAGCGAGGGAAAGGGAGGCGATGCGGCTTGGTCATTCACAAAGAATCGACGTCCGTCGTCAATGGGAAATATCTGCCGTCGTCGACAAGGAAGAAGGAGAATTGAAATGGAGAGTGGGAGGAAAAGATGGTGGTAGACTGTAGTCGTTTCGTCCCCCAACGATGGTCGAATTGCCCCCATTCACGTTGGCATAAGAATCAATGACACCAGAGCTCAAAGCTCGATGAGGGCTGGGAGCTTTGCTCCTTGGGCCAGCTCACTTCCCCTTGTTTGCTTGCCCCTGTCGAGCCGTATGCCAAGCCGTTATTATGTTGCTGTTGGATGTCCTGGAGAGGTACAATGTAATTAATGACGGATAACGAGGATGATCTGATGGATATTCGTTGGGGGCTCTGAAATCCGACTTCGAATAATTAGTTGGCAGAGTTTGAACTTTGAAGATCTTGTCTTGCGTAGCTGGGCAGGGGTGGTAATGAATGAGGTACGAATATGAAAGCTCGGAAGCGCAGGAAACGAGCCACGAGGGACGAGGAGGCCGACGAAGATGATGCGAGAAAGCCACGAGGACGATGGATCTGCAGAGACAAGGAACAGGGTCCAATGTACAATATGAATATGTACACGTTGTAGTGTACGTTGTACGTTGTACGTACTTCATCAGACAAGGAAAGAAAATATAGAAACGAGAAAAGCAAAAGCGAAGAATGGAGAAAGTTGAGAAAATGCCAGCCACCTGCAGGCAACCCCTATCTTTCTCTCTTTCCCTTTTCTCCTCCGCCTTTTTCTTTTCCTTCTCTTCTTACGTTCTCGTGCCATCCCACCCCGCCTCCCCTTTGATTCCTCCAGACTCCTACCATTACATCGCAGGAGGAACCTCATCAGGAGCTTGGGCTTGGCTGGTGTGGCCTTGGACCTCGTCGTCCAATCTTAATTACGTGTGGTGGATGAAGATGGGTGGAAGGATTAGATGTAGTGGATCTCAGTGGACTAGACCTGGATCGATACAGCGGCATGGTTCCCCAGTTAGGGGACGGATCCCGGTGCGGAAACAGGGGGAAAGGAGGAAAGGAGGAAAAGAGGTAAAGAGGAAAGGGGGAAAAGGGGCACGGGGAGCAGAGGAACGAGTCGATTGCTTTGGGCAAGTTTGTGATCGGTCCTTGTCAAGGAAATGTATATATTTAATGCAGATAGGTATGTGTAGCTCCACGGTACTTATCAGTTATGGCTGGGAGATGAGAATCGGAGTGTATCATCGAGGGGGTGTTACTTATCTATGCCAGTATATACTTCTACCCCTATCGACGCTATGTACGCCACTCGGCCCGTTTACGGATACCAAAGTTCCTAACGGCTTCGAATTGGTTTGTACGGTTTGTACGATGTACAAAACATATGTATAACGGTACAATCGGGATGAATTTAGTTCTCAGCCCTGCAAGGTGCGGAGGGGGCACAGCCCACATTGAGCCACAGGCGCCTCCCCCAACAGCCCCCCAAAATAGAAAAGAAGGCGGAAGAAACGAGGGGATCGGAAAAGGGAAAGAAAATAAATGGAAAATAAGCCAAAAACGTCTGAGACCCCCGGCCACAAAAACAGACACGAAGAGGGGTACTTGAGAGGTGCAATGATACCTATTTGCGATGCGAAGCGAAGAAATAGCCCATTCGAAGTACGAAAGTATTCTTTTTTTTTTTTTTTTTTTACTGGCAATGTTCTTCTGATGGTGGCAATTGGGCAATTGAGAATGCCCAACATTGCTCCCGTCGATCCGGTCGCAGGAAATTAACGATCTGACTTGCCCATATACTGACGCACGATTGTCCTTGCTCTGGCTGACCTTCCAGTCGTCCGTCCTATAATCAATTAATATTTCAATTGCATTTCAATTGCATTCTTCGCCCCATGAAGTGCTTAAGAAAGAGACAAAGAGAGCATACGGAGAATACACATCTCGTTGTTAATTGTGGACGTTTGTGGGAGTGAATTGGAACAAGGCTTGTTTTACTCTAATGTCGGAAACTGTTCGGAACTTGGCATCATAGCATCATACGTCATTCCTTCTGACCAGACGCTTAATTTACCCCTGGCGTACGTCTGGGCTGAGCGCCCCAATCGCCTGCAGCAGTCACCCAACTCTTCAGTGGAACACCCTCTCGTCTCGTCCCTTGGTATCCCATCTTCGACTTGGTTCCTCTTACTTTCCCTCCTCTCCCACAGGAACCAGCCGCCCAACAACTATATACTTGGACTCGAACCGTTCCTCCCACCCGCGCAGGGCCTCCATCTCCTCAGGCCCCAGGTCAGACAGCGTGTCCAGCGGGCCGTCCAGGTCCTTGGTGAGCATGGACTCGTCGAAGCTCCCGCACGCCAAGCCGCGCGAGGCGTCGCGGCCGGCAAAGTTGGCGTAGGGGCCCTCGGGCCCGTAAAAGTTGCGCCCGGCCGACACGTCGAACACCCGACCCCGCACGGCGAGGTAGACCGGTCCTCCGTTGGCGCCGCTGTACGGGAGGAGGGTGTGCGGATTGAAGGTGCGGAATACGGTCGCTGGCGGTTCGCGGGGTAGGGTCGCGGGCGAGGAGCGTCGGAAGTAGAGCGAGTAGGTCGTGTAGAGGAGGGCGCCGAGGAGGAGGACGTTGAGAGGGGTTCTGACGGCGCTAGTAGAGGGCATCGTCGTTAGCTTCATTGACCTTTTGCTTCGTCGTTATCAGCAAATGTGTTTTGTTTTGTTTTGTAGGGTGCGAGGGAGACGCAACTCGTTTGCTGAAGCCGCTTTGGCTGCTTCCTGCGCCATGCGCTGCTCGACGTAGTCCATTTTGCTCGGTGATTCGATTCGGAGATGATTCGGGAGGGTGTGATATTGGGATTGGGGTCGAGAAGAAAACGTTCCCTGTATTTATGGCCTGGTCAGATCGGCTGTGACAAAGAAGAACGGCAGAAACCAAATTTCCATAAGCAAAACTTACGCCGGGTTGCCCAGCAGTATACCTTAGAGAGTGAAGGCCGAGATGCTCCGTCAACTCCGTGGTAGCGGAGGAAGAGGTAAGGCAACACGAAAAGTACAAAGTTCTAGAAGCTCGGCTCGGAATATCATAACGCCGACTGGTTCCCCATGATGCACAGGCATGACGCGAATAAGGCAATTCCAAGTCGCAAACTCAATCGACCTCTCTCTTAGCTCTTTCGGAGAAGAAGACATTAAATATCTCTATATTAATTTATTTGTTTCGAGATACCTAGCAGATCTCACACTTTTTTATAGCGTTACTATAGCTAATACCCCTCACGGAGGCGTCATTAAGGACCTCTTCGTTCGCGATACTCCGCGGCACGCTAAGCTTCTGGCCGAGTCGGACACCCTGCCCGCCTTAACCCTGACGGAACGCTACCTATACGATCTTAAGCTGATCCTTAATAGCGGCTTTTCTCCCCTGGAGGGTGGGTTATTTAGCACTCCGGTAAAGATAATCCTGGCTAACTAAATATCTAAATTATAGGCTGTATAACAGAGAAAGACTATAACGGGTATATAGTATAGCTCGGAGGCTTAACTTAGTTAGAACTCCTACGACTAACTATAACTCTCCTAGTATAGTTATAGAAAACCGATTAGCCGATAGCGCCTTTTTTAGTATACCGATAAACCTCGATATATCTTAGGAGACTATTAATAAGCTAGGAATTAAGCCCGGTGCCTATATTACCCTATACGACCTTTATAATAACCGCGCTCTCGTTATCCTTACCGTTGAGGATATATACAGGCCCGATAAGTACGAAATATATGTACCTAAATTATCCTACCCGGATTAGGCTTAGATACATAAAAAGAAAGGAAGAAAAAAAGAAAAAGAAAAAAAAACCGACTAACCTAACCGTTTAGGTCGCTAGAGGCTTAGGAGGTCTTTAGCAGTCCCGATAATAAGACCTACCCCGGTATTAAGTACCTCTTCTATATAGCTAAGGAATTCTATATTAGTAGTAAGGTTAGGGCCGTTTAAAGACTAGCTTATTATAACTTTTTAGATTTAAGATATAAGTTATCCCTTTACCTCTCGGGCGGGAGTACGACCCCTAGTTACTAACTTAGTGAATAAAAGTTACCCCTACTAAGCTATAATAGCACTTTAAGAAGCTCGGCTAGAATAAGATTATCGCTTTCTAGACTTATAACCCTATATACTATACCTATCACGAGCTAACGGTTCGCGCCGCTTAGTCTTAATAAGCTAATATACTTATTTACCCCGTTATCGGCCTAACTAAGCCCGGCGATATTAACTACTTTACCCGCGTCCGTGTCTATAAGGCCCTCCTGCCCTAGTACCCTAATAGTATAGCGGCGCTAGCCTTACTACCCCTGGCTATATATATAGGTAGCCCCTACGAGGCTATCTAGTATACTACTATCCGTAAAAACCACGGCGTAATACACTTTATCGTCGGATATAACTATATTAGTCCTGGTAAGAATAAGCACGGTAAGGACTTCTACGGCCCTTATAACGCCTAAGTAGCGGTATAGACATACTAGGACGAGTTAGGTATTAAGATAGTCGAGTTCTAGGAGATAATCTATATCCCCGACTATAATAAATACTAGCTGGCTAATATGATTCCTAAGGGCACCCGTATAGCTAATATCTCCGGCACTAAGCTCCGTTACCGCCTAAGGACCGGTAAGGAGATCCCTATATAGTTCTCGTATCCGGAAATAGTTAAGGTTCTCCACGAGCAGAACCCCCTACCTTCGACTAAGGGCTTTACCGTCTTCCTAACTAGCTATACTAATAGCGGTAAGGACTAAATCGCGCGTGCGCTATAGGTAACGCTAAATTAGAGTGGCGGGCGGTCCGTATTAATACTATTAAGCGAGATAGTGCGGTCAGAGCTATTATCAGAGCTTAGTTTTAGCCGCGAGGACCGTGATAAGAACGTGGCGTATATTGTGTTTATAGTATCGGAGCTAATACGCGCCGGTGCGACCGTTATTACCGCTCCTATTACCCCCTACGAAGAGGCCTATTAGTAGGCCTAAGAGCTTATAGAGAAGTCGGGCCCCTTTTTCCTTATTTACGTGGTAATACCGCTCGAGTACCCTAAGAAGACAGACCGGCGAAGTATCAATAAGAAGGCCCGGGCCGGTAAGATTAAGGGTTTTACAGGCGTCGATAACCCGTATAAGAACCTCGTTAAGCCAGACTTAGTTATTAACTACGAGAAGTAAACCGTGCGGTCTATTATATACTAGATCATCTTACTGCTTAAGAGCTAAGGTCTGCTAGATAGGCTATAATATTCTTTCCTTTGCTTTTCCGTTTTCTGAGGGGTGGTTAAACGAGGCTCTTTAGAGTATATCGCGAGTCATAGCGTTAGGACAAGAGACGGAGCTGTATATATAGAATGATAGAATGATTCAAAAGGAGAGTTAAGAACGCTCTCTAGCACCGGGAATGCTTGGGCTCTTATTTAGGAGGAAAAAGAATATTAGAGTTAGATAGTATTTTGTTTGATATTTTATTTGGCATGAAATATTAAAGGATATAATACTAGGAAGCAAGAAATAGAAAAGACTCGGGCTGAACTTCGATCTGGAGAGGTTACGTTTTAACGCCGTCCGCTGTTATTGTTACGCGAGTGTTATGATTATATAATAGGATATGTGTTGGGCCCGTTGACGTGATGGTAGTTATAGAGATAATACCTAATTGTAAGATCTATAGGATGGTGCGAGCATAGTTATTGCGTTGGAGGTGTTGATGTGATAATAGCAGTGGAGGGTGGAAGAAGATAGAAGAAGGTGAGAGACGGGCGCTTAATGACCGCTTATTAGTTCGACTTATAAGGGGTTTGAAGATGGTTAGATCGCGGTACTATATACGGTACCCGTTTTAGTGCCTAATCTGATAGGACCTCCGAATATAGTAGGCACTATGAAGGATAAGGTAAGGTATCTTAGGAAGGCACTAAAAAGAGTGGCAAGCACGTAGTATCGTACCTACCTATAAAGGTCTTCGAAGTACCTTAATTACGGATACCTTACTAAGTGTAAAAAGATAGGGAAAAGGAAAGGAATACTAGACTAAAGCAGCGCAGTAGCGGTCAGGCATAATAAGGTTCTAGTAGGGAAATAGTACTTTATCACCCGGTTCTAGTACGGTATCCAATGTCTGTTTTCGATACTGTGTGTTACTTACCGAATATACTAAGAGCTAGGAATATCTCGATACAAGACTGTATTTATTCACAGTGTCTATAAGCTTTAAAGAAACACGGTAAGTATATCTCCTCTATTATTCAGCCAAGTTATACAGGCACGCACCCGTTAAGGTTATAATTATTTAACCTACTATATAAGGTAGGTATACTGCCAGTATCACGTTAAGTTAATGTCGGCCCGGTCTATACTGGAACTCCTCCTATCTCCTCTTCTTCCTCTTCTCTCGATATCCACTAAGATTATAGGATTATCGCTGTTGTCGAATTATCTAAGTCGCTATTATTTATAGAACCTCTGCTATAGCCGCCGACTAACCACTAGTAATAGATAGTCTTCTTCACCGGTCTATTTTTCCTCCCTTTATTGTATATTACACCCTGAGTCCGAGTTAGTTACCTCGCTTTCCCTTATCCCGAGGACCTTACGCCGTACCTTTACTACCCACGATTTTCTATAATCTATCCCCTCCTATTCTTCGCCTATCGTCTTAATCTTTATCGAACTAATCTCTTATATCTTCACTTTACTCTAAATAAAGTTTAGGCCTGGCTAGTCCCGAACTCCGAACTTCTTAACAATATACTTAATTAATCCGGTGGATACTGTCTCTCTTTTAGTTTATTCGAAAGAATAACTCCGGTCGGATCTTGCCTACGCTAACTATTCCTTCGTATTCCTCTTTTCTAATCAGTACACTTTCTATCTTTCGGAAAGCTTAGATAGACTTCGAATCGACCCACTACTAAGTAAAACCAAAGCTATATCTTAGGCTTCTATCTATAATTACCTATGCCTTCCTAGGATAAGCGTAACGTCGGCTTCGATAACCGCGTTACTAAGAAAAGGAAATCTAAGAGCAGGAATAAGAGAACCGATAAGGAAAGGGAGTATCGTAGATCCTCTAAGTCGAAAAGGGAGGGCGATAGCGACGTTTCTTATTCTAGGCGCTACCACCGTACCCGTGATAAGAAAGAATAATACTCGGCCACCTTCGAGCTTATATACGAAGTCGGCCGCTCTAAAAGCTCTTTACTTTCCACCGACCGTATCTCCCTGCCCTACCCGACTTTTAGTAAAGCCTATAGTAAGGAAGCCGTTTATAGCTAAGAGAACCTATCCACTTTAAGCCCTTATAAGACGGATCCGTTAACTCCTAAGCCCACTAACCTATCTGGAGGACGGAAGGAGCGGTTAAGGTCCCCGGACTATAATAATACCCCTAGATTAAAGAAAGAGACTAGGCCCCCCAGCCTACCTAACACGGAGATATCCGGTAAGAAGCACCGTTTATATACCCCCGATACAATTAGAGAGGAGAAAAGAGAACGGCCGAGTTTAAGATTAAGCGCCCTATTACGGTCGGGATCTAGATATAATACTAAATCGAGGGTAAGCTCTAAATCTAAGGCGTTAAGCTAAGCTATATTCTTTAAGACGCCCGCCTATATTTATACTAGACTCTATAAGGGTCTAAGTATAGAGCGCGGTCCGTCTTATTTCTCTTCTAAGAGGCGTCTTTTAAGTAAGATAGGGAAAAGGCCTAATCTTATCGATACCGAATCGTTACCCGAGAGTATACAGGACTCGTCCTCTAAGACCCCGATATAAACTCCCCTATTTTCGCCTTCTATATTCCCTACTAATAATAAGAAGAGGCAGTAATTATATACCCCGTTCTATAAGCCTAAACCCGAGATCACGCCCTTTACTATACCCGTTATAGATTTTAACGACCCCCCTCCCCTACCTCCTCCGCCTCCTCCGGCTCTTAATATATAAAAGGTGCCTCGGATTAACTACTTACCATAATTCGGTAGCTTACCCTACCCTATCTCTAAGTATTTCCTCTCCGTCCTTCCCCGCCCTAATAGTATACGCTTATCCTACCCTCCTCTTACTAGCGCTTAAACTCTATTTACGCCTTTCTTTAACCTTCTTAACTAATATAATTCCGTCTTAGAAAAGAGTAGATCTATTACTATTATAATAGGTTATCGGTCCGTGGCGTGTTATCTACTTAACTATCTTAAGAACGTTTTCTGCCGAGAGCTACCAATAAACGGATATAATTATCTTATATACAAGAATAGACCGAGAACACACTAAGACCTTAGCTAAGAAGAGGTCTTAGAATAGGTTAGCGGTCGTATTAAGCTACCCTAGTAGCCCCCCTTTAACCTAGCCGAGCTTGGCCTTAAAGTAGCGGAATTATCTACGGATTTACCCCTATATCCCGATTCTTCTATTAAGATCGATCCTAATATCGTGGAGGAGTTCTGGGAGTATTACCTATAGTAGTTAAAGAAAGTTAGGGGAGCTATTAATAAATAGCTTAATAGCTATAGCGAGACGCCGGCCTTATCTCCCTAAGAAATCGATAATAAGACGCTTAGCTTCGCGATCCTAACTAACCTAAACGCCGAGGATAGACTATACTTTAACGCTATTATTAGTGGCTCGCGAGAACTCTAGCTATATAACCGAGTACCGACTCCCGCCCGGAAATAGCGCTCCGAATTTATTACTTAGTACGGCCTAGCTTTATAGCGGCTTTACCGGCTAGGTTAAATCCCTTGCGATACGGAAACCGCCCTATATCTAATTAAGAATCTATATACGTATAACCTCCTAGTCACGCTATCGGATATTAATACTTCGGAATAGGAGATCCTAATATCCGGGCGGTTTAACGGATTTTTATAGTCCGGGGCTAATACCGATAACCTCGTTACCCCGATAGCGGAATCCCGTAGCGCTACGCCGGCTAACGGGTTCTTCGGTTCATAAATACTAAGTATCCGAGGTATACCCGGTATTCCCGGTTCTCGTAATATAACCCTATTCTCCGTATGCTCTCACGGTATAATACCGGCGTTATTTATTAGTATCTTATTATCGGCGTATCCGAACCGCTAAGCGGTATCCCGGGATAAGGAGATAGAGATTATAGCGCTGGCCGAGGTAAAGAGGGAAATCTATTAGGGGATAGAAGTACTCGAAGATATATTTAAGGCGTTATATATAAAGGCGGAAGTAGTTCGCACGGCGTTACGGAACTAAGGTACGGGCTTAATAGTTAATCTATAAAACCGCTAGTAGATTAACGTGCTTCCTAACTAGCCTACCTTAGGTAACTCGTAGCACTCCGGGTACGATCAGCCGGTATAAGCGGTAAGTAGCGAGTTCGATAGCACTAGCGATAGCGAGTAAGGCGGCGACGATATTAAGTTAATACCAGACGATTCGGCGAGTAATATTAGTAGCTTAAGGCACCGCCGACCTAAGAGGCGGACTAAGTAACGGACGCCCGCGCCTATTAAGGAAGATGAATAAGAAGACTAAGAGCCTAATAACGAAGAATTTAATTATAATAGGATAAAAAGACAAAATAATAGGATGAAAAAAAAAAACCCCTGGAGGGGGGGGTAAGAAAAAAAGAAAGGACGAGAAGCACGGAAGGAAAGAAGAAGGAAAGAATTATAAACGGATATAATACTCTACTAAAGTATCTCCTAGCTTTATAGCGAGCAAGCTATTTTATTCGGGTATATACTAGATTAGGCGCGCTGAACATTGCACTATAGGAAGATATCTAAATATTAAAAAGAGAGAGCTTAAGACCTGTCGATATGCTACGGAAGAAGAATAACCATTAGATAGGATCTATTTAGTTTAATTTAAGAAACTCTTTACATAGTATAGCGGGCGATCGTTAGGGGGGAACACGTGGGTGCTATTTTAAGTCGTTTCTAGGAGACCGATATTATATAGAGGGACGGATCTCAACCGCAGGGAGCACGGTGGTAAGTATCTTTCTATCATCCCGGGTCTGGCTAACTGGATTCATACTCTTAGGGGATAAGATAAAGAAGCTATATTCTGGAATGGCAAGACGGGAATAGCTACAGACACTAGGCAACGCAGTATTATCAAACTTGCTTCTCTTTTTGAAATAGAATCCTGCTATGTCGCATCTTCTATTTTCACACGGGTGTTCCACATGTCGATTTCCGCGTTGGCCATTCGGATCATTGGACTGTTGCCGCCCTTCACCTTCTTCCGAGCTTTCACCTCTTCCACGGCAGCCTTGAATTCAGGGGCTAAGTGAATCATCCGCTCCACCATTATGTTTGAAGCAGTTTCCGGTGTCCACCCTGACATAGCCTGTTCAGGAAATATATACCAGCAGTTCTCTAGGTTGTGCCATGGTCTTGCACACGCGCGGCACGGTTCGTCGCAGGAGTAGTCGGATTGTTTTCGTTTGGATGGGTTACGGTTAGCAGGCTGCTTAGGCTGCTTTCCATCGGAATTGGGATTAGGTGCGAGGTTTTTCCTAGCATCCCGGCCGCCGCGGCCTCTACTTCTGCGATGGTTACGGCGCTCTGCCGCCGGCGCCTGTGAAGACGAGGATTCCTGTTTCCCCGTCTCCCCACTGGCGAGGGCGAGGGCCGGGACGGCGGCTGTGCGGTGCCTCGCGATTGTCGGCAGGTTGATCCGTTCCTCGGCGTACCTCTTCCCCTCCATCGCGAGGTCTCCGGGGGTCACCGTTTTAAGGTCGATGAGACGCCGCAGCGCGTCCACCCAGTGGCCTGTTAAGGGGAGTAGGCAGTGATAGAAGTCGTTACACCACACGACAGGGTCGGTCAAGACGCCTACGTCGTGACACTCGTTTATAAGCAGGGACCACTCGTTGATCCAGTCCATGACCTTCTTGGGTTTATTCGGAGGCTTGCGGAGGTGCTGCTGATAGGAGTTGACGGCGTCCGTCTTGCGACATCCGGCGGCATCTGTGCGTACAGCTTCATACACCTCCTGCGGCGTCGTTCCCACCAATAGGGCCTTCCATTTTTTCTGGGCGATGGACTCTTCCTGCCAGCGGTGAACAGCAGCTATCCCGCGTGCGTACTTTTCACAGATTCGTTCACGTATCTCCCACGCCATCAGGTCGATATGGTAGGCGGCTCTTCCGTCTGCATCCATCGCGTAGGCGTTAGAGGCAGGCATAGGGGTCTCTGCAGGTGGTTCGTCGGGATTGTCCGGCCGCAAATATCTCCAAACGTTGTTGGTCATAGCTGTCAATCTGTAGTCCCGTTGCCAGAGCTCCCAATCCCTGTGGGTACTGTATCGTATGGTCTTGGACCCAGACATGTTGCTGAATGGACAAGATTGTATGGTGGCTTGTTCAAGTGATAAAGGTTTTGGTCAGATGGATCGCTGCAACGGCTCGGCTAGGACAGCCTTCAATTGCTAGAAATGAGTAAGCCAGATCGGGCCAGATGAGACTCTTGATCGTCGGAAACAGACTTGACCGTAAATGTCAAATGGGTTCCGCAAAGAGCGAGAAGGTAGTCTCATAAGGTGAAGTAGAAGGGGTCTAGTGGTGGTTATACCTGAAGGTGGGGATGGTCAAAGAGTCAGATCGTGATTAATCGGTAGCTCTCCCTCGAAAAGGGAGTACCTCCCTCTTCTACTTAAGTTACATGGTCCTCGAGGACTTGTTCGACGATCCTCGAGTCCGTTTGCTTACTCGTTCACCCTGTCTGGTCTCTTTGTTTGTTCCTGCAGGTCTTCCCTTATTTATTTCCTGCGCCTTGTCCTTTCTTTATGCCCTAGGTCCTGCATGTGTAACCTAGGCAGGTATCTAGGTACAGTCGGGGGGAAAAAAAAAACGCCACTTTTTTTTTACCCCGCGATTTCCGCCGACACACGAATTCGACACCACAACTTTGAAAGGTCATAATAATACCAAATAACTAGTAAAATGTATATAATTTATGAAAGGAGGTATAGAATTAAATAGAGTTTTGGAATATTATAGTTAGTATTTTATATACTAACTCTTAGCCTTAATAACTGCTTCTATCTACTAAGGCATCGATTTAACTTGTCTATTTAAGAGCTTTTAATTAATACTATTCTAAATCGCAGCTACGCTATTAATCAGTTTAAAGTAGGCCTTCGTATTCTTCTTTAGAGTAGCTAGATAAGGGTATTCAGATCCTAGCCTATCCTTTACGATTTTTTAGATGTTTTTAATAGAGTTTAGGTTAGGAGAGTATACAAGCTAAACTAAGACTTCCGTGCCTAATTCCTCGAGGAATTTATTATTAAATGGGCTTCGTAACGAGTGAGAAGGTAGTGTTAAGAGGGGATTAGATAGGGACTAAGTGGTGGTCACTAAGGTTAGAATAGTGATTATAAAGGGTTAAAGGTAAGGGGGACCTAAAGAATCAGATTAATCGCTAGCCCTCCCTTTAATAAAGAGAGTGCCGTCTCTAGTACTTAAGCTAATTAATCCTCGAGGTCTTACTCCACGACCCTCGAGTCCATTTACTTATTCGTTTGCTTAGTCTGATACCTTTATGTATCCCTGCAGGTCTCTTCTTCTTTATTACTGCTATCTCTCCCTCTTTGCTTCTACGGTCTCTCCTACGGCCCGGGTTATATCCTGTTACCTCCGGCTTACTCTATAAACCCGAGGTGCTCTCTTAGTGACCCCTACGTGCCTCTGCTATGGGCCCCCTCCGGTATATATACCTAATGCTTATAATGCGAGCAGTGTAAAGAGGGGAATTATCCCGTATAAATAAATAGCCAGGATTCTAGATTATCGGCAGCTTTTTATAAAGAATTTCCACGTATTTCCTGATTATAAAACTGCCTTTTTTATATAGGGATTCCTAGGACAGGGCACTAAAATAGTCCTTCTTCCGTAGATAAAAGCACCCTAAAATATCTAAGATATCCGCTACGATTTATATCGAACTTATATATAATCCTTATCTATAGCTCGTGATCCTACTTTTATTAGCTAAATCCTATTATTACGGGTAGAATTTACTTACCTTTTAAGCAGAAGACCCAGGCCCTTCGACCCCCGGTAGTCTTATCGATAATACTCTTATCCGAGAAGATAATCCTCCTCTAAAAGCTAAGAGGCTTATTAATATACTATCTAGCAAACTATAAGCGCTCTTTAGCGTGTTCTTTAATTAAATACGGTCTTATAGCCACCATGGCATATATAATACCCCATTTCGTAAGGCTACGACGAAGAGTATAAACTACAATATTTAGGCACGTAATTAAGTATAGGTTTTTAGCCGTAATAAAGAGATTAAAAGCAACTAAACACAGTATATAGCGTTTTACGCATTTGTTTAGTGCTAGGGGGCGCTAGGGCATAGTGAAGATTTACCTAACTGCTACTAAGGATAGTGCTTAACGATACCCCTAACCTGTATAGAAGTTAAGCCCTCTAAAAACGCAATACCCTTTACGGACTAATCTGTTTAATAACGTCTCTATACTCTGCCGCGTCGGCCTGGCGTTATATACGAATTTCTAGGCGTTTCACGCGATCTAGGTGGTGTTATAAGTATTTTTATATAAAGGGTTAGGTTATAAAGCATCGAAATTAGGACGCCTCGCGCGTTAAGTGGGAAAAGTGGCGTTTTTTTGTCCCCCCACTATAGTCCCGGGTCACATCCTGTCACCTCCTTACCCTGCAGTGGTCCTGATGCGCTCCTACCATGGACATGACCTGACAGTAAAACAGTTGATGCCATAAAACTGCGTACAGGGCAGTAGACCGATAGGTTTTTTTTCTCTTTCTCCTAAAAAAAAAAAAAAGAAAGAAAAAATCTTTCAATTTTCTTCCTTTTTAATTGAGGTTTGTAGAACTGTGGCTTTTACATGTACCTGCCGAGGGGTCGGCATCCTAGCTATTCCGTCTCCGGCTTAGATACTCCGGGACTTTAATACCTAAGATCCAGTCCTATCTGCCGCCATCCCATTCCGACGAATCCGTCCACCATAATTCTACACTAAGGATCACGACGGAGATAGTACCGGCGATGTCTTATAAACCATCTAGTGCCAAATGGTAGTAAATAATGATTATAGAGCATTATATAAATAATAGCGTCCAATATTCTCATCAGGACCAGTGCCTCGCAAGTGTTTAGGCTCGCGAGAGGGGGAGATTTTAATTATTAAACCTCTACTATTCGGCTGAATATAGTCTGATATTCGAGAGCTCGCTAAAGCATTAAAAGCAAAATTTAAAATAGTAGCAGCCGCTTCTCGGCATTGCTCTAAGAAGTGATTGGCAAAAGAAAAAACTGCATCTTCTGGCTACTATAATAAGAAATAGCGAACCGATAGAAGACGTCTATTAGTAGCGGCAAAGAAGGAGTGGTAGAGGGATAAACTATAAACCCCCCGCCGCTATTAGATCTTACTAACGATAATATTACGCCTAATACTATTCGTATTAATTCCTAAGACGATAATACGAGATTAATCTATCTTATATCGCGGCTGGTAACGCACTTGCACGACTTTGCGCGCGAAACGAGGCTAAGCACTACCGAGTGGATGGCCGCTCTCGATTTTCTTATTAAGTACAGTTAGATTAGTAGTGACGTCCGGCATATAGGTTCTATATAATTATTTCCTTATATCTCATCTTCTTTAATCGGTTAACATTCCTAGAAGGTAGTACGTTTACCTTTATACGTCTATATAAGGTAAAACGAGTACTCATTTAGTATATAGAGGAATTCATCCTCCTATCCGATATCCTCGGACTATCCCTCTTAGTTGCTAGTATTAACCACCCTAAACCCCCGTCTTCTACTAAGTACTCCCTGCTAGGCCCTTTCTATACGTATAACGCCCCGATGTTAGCTAGCAGGGAGAATATATTAGACGACCCGGAAGGGGAGCCCCTACTAGCCCTTTACACCATGAAGGATAATAAGAGAAACCCTATTCTAGGTGTTAAAATCCATATATAGGAGACGGATAGCTTAGGCTATTATACTATATAGGACGTAGACCGTGGTAGTATCCCGAGCGGACGGTGCGTAATAGTCTCCGATTTAGAGGGGAATTTCCGGTTCCGCGCTATCCGGCTCGTAAGCTACCCGATTCCGTATAACGGCCTTATTAGTAAACTGCTCTGGTTACCAGGATAGTATTACTAGAGGCCGGCGTATATACACTTTATATTCGAGAAGGATAGCTAGGATAAACTTATTACGGCGCTTTATATCCGCGGCGACCTGTATAAGTCGTCCGACGCCGTTTTTAGGGTGAAGAAGAGCCTTATTATCGACTTAGATAAGTTAGATACCGAGAGGGCGAAAAAGTATAGTGTTAACGTAGGCGGCGAGGAAGGGATATAGCTACTAAGATACGACTTTATTATTATATCAGAAGAGGAGGCTAAGGAGCTTAGAGATTAGAATACGATTAAGGCTTTAGCTAAGTTAGGGTTAACGTATATAAAGCTTATAGACTATCTGCTAGTTCCCGAAGTGGATCAAGAGGGACTGTGGGTCGGATAAGGATGGGAGATAGTCATGGTCGAAATTATACCGGCACCTCCATGATGGGATAGACCCGTGAAGCATCCCTCATTCCTCCATTACATAACAAACTCGTGACTGTAGAATCGTACCGAAATCTCAGTCTCTTGTTTTCCACTCACCGCGGACGCCCCAGTAACTTCATCAACATTCCTCTAGAGCTCCAGATCTGCAAGCGATTTCTGCACAAGATTCTCTACAGCGTCGCCATCAGGCATTTATTATTCCGTTAGTTTACGCCCCAGGCAACGTCAAGCTGGGGGGCATCATTTCTGGACGTTGAGGAACACCATGAAAGGACACTGGACCTCCAGGGTCACGTGCTAGCTATAGAAATGCCCAGAAAAAGCATTAGTAAGAGATCCCACCACTCGTCTCGTATTATGATGTAGATCGTATTGTTCGCTTGGGCCGTGCGTTATGAATACCTACCTACCCTTGATACCCCGAATTGCACGGGACTGGAATACGGAGTGCTCCGTGTGCTATCTTCCGTCCCCGTAGTACGAATATAGTAGTTACCTAGGTATCTAAGGTAGGTAGTTCTCAGTATCGTATCAATAAAGTTAAGTTATTTTATTTTGTTACGATACCTTAATATAAACGGTCACTTCACACCGCCGTAACGGTCTAGGCGTTGTGAAAGACTCGGCTGTACATTGTACATTGTACTCACCAACGTACCTATCGGTACCTTCCGTATCAACCCCAGCCATAACCATTGAGTGTGAAAGCCAAGTGGAGCTTCCCCAGGTCCATTCGGCGAAAAAGAGGCCCGCCATCCAATGTCCCCTCCACCCTCCGAATCGGGTTTGATGCCTAAAAGCTAAGGATAAGCCCTCGACGCTGGTTGGTGGGCTGAAGGCAAAGTGAAGGTAACTCGGCTTGGCCCCCGTGCAGTTGTCTTACTGGTGCACCTGCCTTCCACAACCGTCTCCTTCGCTCTCTTAGCTGCCCCGCCTGTCTGACCTGCCCTGCCTGCCCTTTTTCCAACATCCTTCTCCCAGCTTCGATTGTTGCCCTATCCCTCTTTATCCTCTTTTCCAGTTAAACCAGCATTCTAAGCAGGGCAACTTATTAGGACACATCGCCACCTATCTCTCAAGACTCCATTCTCTCACGCTTAAGTACCTTACTCAGTAACACTTTCTGTTTGGCTCTCGTCTATCTATTTACTTTAGTAACTATATATTTATAGCGAGACGCTTATTTAAGCCGTCGGTCGCTCGCCCCCTTTCCTATCCAAAAACCCCCTTTCCCACGGATAACCCCCGGAAAGTCGAGTTTATATTAATTAAAAATCTTAAGTCCTACGGTACGTATATATCCTAGCAAGCTCCGGGAACCCCTTACCCGTTGATCCGTTTGCCCCTTACTACCTTAATTCAATGGCCTGGCTTTCGGGTTCGGGCTTGGCTTATATCCGAGTACATTGTGAATAGGATTATCGCTAACCACTTGACATCCGACATAGACCCCTTCGCCGAAGCCGACGAAGATACTGGAGAGACGAAGCAGACTTACAATTATATCTATATACGTATCTAACGTACGTGCCTCTCCTTCCCGCCGCGCGTCCTACTCCTATACTTCCTAACGTTTTCCTGTTTCGCCCGAGTTCTCCTATTAGGGCGACCGAGCTAACACCTGTGATAAAGCGTAATAGACGTAAAACCTTGACGACCGTTCAGGGTCTTCCGAAGAAATTCGACTAAAAGAAGATCCTTAAGATGATTAAAAAGAAGTTCGGTACGTTATAAGCCCCCGCTGTGTTTATCTACGTCTAAGAGATTTTTCTACTAACAGTAGCACCCTTAGCCTGTAATAGCACTATCATTAATAATACTAAGATAAGAGAGATAATCTAGCTTTAAGGCGACTAACGTAAGGATATATAAGAATTCCTTATAGATAGGACGGAAGGCCTAGAGTTAGACCCGAAGTCTATTAAGGTCCATGGCTTCTAGCCCTCCTATAAGTCACCGTTGTGTCGTGTCCCGCTACTAGTAGTGGTATCCTATAACGCTCGAGGTCGACTCACGGGTGAAGGTCGCGAGTACGAGTATTAAGAAGCGTAGCTCCCGCTGGCTTATCGCCTTGCGTGCCTCGAGCGTCTACCGCCTAGCTAGTATCCAATATTTAGGCGGTGGCCGGGCCTAGGTTAGCGATTAGCGATTTCCGTTAAGAGAGAAAAAGAAGGAAGAAGGAAGGGTGGGGGGTCCGGTGCGTATAGTAAATAACTATCGTAGGACCTTAAAGGTAGGGCTTTGTCGCTGTTACAGTTCCGCCGCCGTGTTCTATAGCGATAGCCTAGCTTGAATTAGGGTCCGTAAGCGAAGTTCGGCTAATAAAATTAACACCTATATTTATTTGCCTATGCCGTGGAATCAAAATATGTCTCTTGTTATCTTGTTACCTCCGCCAGCCAGCTCTACTTGACTGCACTGATAAAGGTAGATTAGTATAATCGTGGCTTTGTTATTCGATATTGCCTGTTTCCCATTACCACGGCGAATAACTGGTTAGTAGCTAAGGGGTATCTGCTATACGTGTGCGCTACCTAGGTAGCCATAAGGAAAGAGTCAAATGCTAATTATGTCCCGTGTACGCTATTATGCTGAGTTTTTCGCCCGAAACCGATGCCTCTCGTTAAAAGAAAAAGAAGGTAAAAAAGGAAAAAAACATAACAGGAAAGAAGAAAGATAAAAATTATAAGTCGTACTTATTAGTCGTTATAAAGCTACCTCCGCCGCGACCGTCTCTAAAACCGTTCTCGCCCGCTATATATACCTAGTATGTCTGGATTATACGTATAAACTGTAGTAAGAGGGAGTCGGGGTATTCGAGGTTACTAGTATAGAGGTAGCCGAGTAAAGTAAGCGTGCTAATAAAGCTAGCGATAGAAAACACGTTAATAGAGGTCGAGGTCTCCTTTTAGATATTAATCTTTCGTTATATAATATAATATAATATAGTCAACGTCTTTTTTTTTTCTTTTTGGAAGCAAATCCGAATCAGTTAGCGAAAAGCTCTAACTCCCCGGGCAAGTAAAGTACGGATTAGGAAAAACAAAGTAAAAAAAAAGAAGGGGAGGAGAGGGACGGGTTAGGGAGTAGTAGGCGAACTCACGCTAGCGATACTAATCTAGCCTAGGAGGAGGAGACGACCGTTATCGAAGCCGCCGGCGAAGAATAGGATATATTTTATTAGAAACGCGTTAGCATAGTTTATAGTTAAGAGGCGGATAATAGTAGTCTATAAGGTATAGTTTATAAGCTAGCGAGATATAAGGCAGTCGGCGAAGAAAAAGGATAGGTAACCTGATAAGCCGCACTATACGGAGACGTTATTAGTATTATTTTATTTGCTCGTTCATTAAGAATTAAAATATAAGACAAAGAGGAGGGATAATACTATCACGATACTCCTCTTATACTGCTCTTTAGTATATACCTATATAACGCCTAGTACTATCTCGGTCTACGGATATCGTCTAGAACTACCCGGTAATCTTATTCCCGGGGGAGCGCCGCTAAGAAAGAGCCCTATACTTCTCGGGCTAGCTAGGTAGATAGACTCCCCCGGGACTATAACGTCTATAGTTAAAGGGTCTACACCGAGGGCTTTAAGTAAAGCCGACCACGGTAAGGCGAGTATAACGCGAATAAAGAGCTTAAGGGAGGGTTATATACCCTAGTAGATAGCGGGATATATTAAGAGGAGGCGGTAGAAGAAGAGCTAGGGATACTAGGATTTAGGAATCTTAAGGATAATAGCGATACGGGGCTCGAGGAAGGAGGCGGAGAGGAGGCCCGGGAATAGGGAAAAACGGCGGCGCCTAGCGGTGTTCGTGTCTGTTATCGTGTTTTTATTCGAAGTTATACTAAGGGCGGCTAGACTACTACCCGACACGGCCCGTTATAGCTAATATCAAGGGACGGCGGCGGTATATAAGATAGCGGAAGAGGGGAAGCTTATAAAGGCCTTATACGATAGTAGTCTTACCAGGGAACGGGAACGGCGATAGTCTATCTAGGAGGTAAAGGCTACAGAGATATAGTATTCTCCTAGCGAGTCGTCTAGCCGGCTATAGTTATACTATATTGCGCCGAGCTTTTAACTTATTTTATTGACGGATATATAAATAGAGGTATATAGGTCGAGGCAGGTAGAGACAGAGGGTCGATACTTGATAGTGGTTCGGACTCTTTTGTTTCTTCGTGTAAACAATGTTTCCATTCGATTAGGTAAAAACGTGGCTTCGAAAAGAAGGATTAAGGTAAAGGATAAAATCAAAGGCTCGACGGGCCTTATCCCTAGAAGTATACGGAGTATATTATTTTTTAAGCTCTAGGACGTCGACTATGGCGGCGTCTCAGTTTTGGTGACTTGGCTTGCCAAATGAGACGGGTACCTTACATAAACCTTGCGAGCCAAGTCGGTGTTAATAGAACCGGTCTAGAAGATACGAAGATAGGTTCGCAAAGTCACAGAGCGCCACGGTGTTTAGCGCCTAGAGAGAGAGAGATGTACTCCGTAAAATGTCAGCTGGCCCCTGGGTTCTCTTGGGATGGTTCTTGGCTGTGTTGGTTCAAAAATATTTCGTGCGCCTAGATAGGGGAACCACAGATGGGCCATGGAGTGTCGAACGAATCATCAAAGTACGGGACCTTATAAGCACTACTATCACACCGTCTATCCCATATCTGTACTTCGTGCACTATAAGGTACAGGGATTAATACAGATAGGTAGTGTACCAACTATCCAAAGTTGGGTAGGTACTGTAGGTAATTACCTGAGGCGTACATAGGACGTAAGGTAGTTAAGGTACGTTGTACGAAGAGGTATACGAATACACTCAGACTGTTGAGACAAG